TGCCTGCCCTGTCCCTTCTTCTACTCTGCACTCCCCCAGCCCCCTGAAAATGCTAAACAGAGGGTTGTGGGGACCCACTGAATGGAGGACTATGGGGGCATCCCCCCAAATCAGGCAGAGTGGTTGCGAGCAGAGTGCTTCCATGAGTGGAAGGCAGAGTCTGGATCCAACCCTTTCATATAAAGTAATGTGAGATAGGCAATGCCTAGAAACATTTCGGAAGTCAGAATAGTTGCTGAAGAAAATTTCCACTAGTTCAGATAGAAATAAATAAGCACATACATACACATATAAAAATTACATAACTGTAAATGCTGCAGAATAAATTATATCAAAATATGTTCGAGTTGTATGATTCAAGCCATACAGGTGTGGATTTTATTTAAGTATCTATTATGTCCATGGATAATCAGACTGCTGGGCAATATACTACTACAGCAGCTCCATCCATGCGTAGGATTTTCTGGTTCCTCCTAGATTATCTCAGCTGTATCTGAGTGTCCATATACCCTTTTTCCTCCCATCTCAAACACACACTTCACCATAAGTTTACTAGTGAAACCTTTGTTGAATGCATTTCTAGTAACATAATAGTAGAAGAAATGTATGTCAGTGATAATGGGTTACAGAGGAGGAAAATCAGGGCAGGAAAAATGATCCAAGTCCACAACAAAGAAACTTTCAAACTGTTATCTTCAAGGACTCTTTTTCCAATAGACCATCTTGGAATCCCTGAATATTCCAGATGAGTTCAAATTTAGGCTTATCGTATCTACTTCAGCTTTTAGTAGAACTCTATGATCCACCAGCTTAAGGCAGGTATAAAAAGGCATACACTCAATTCAACAATGGGGTGTTTCTGGTCACATTATAAAGCTGAGAATTTGCTTTCAGTCCCCGAAAGGAACTGGTCACAGTCCCTCTACATGGAAATCTACTCATGATTATCCACTTCCTCAAGCTCTTCTTTCAATAACCTCATTTAATGGTAAATGTCTATTTACTATTGGTATTGTTAAACTGAGAATTAGGAAATTCATTTAAAGATGTGCTATCAGTCCGCTTTCTACCCAATGGGGGGGGGGAGGCAAACCCACCACCATTATGTTGGACTACAGCAATCCTTGAGCCAGTGGCCACAATGGCTAAGAAATGTTGTGAATTATAGTCTAACATTTTTTTCGAGCTCTGGTATAGCCCACTCATGTTCTAAGACATGATTGAGTGACACTGACCAAGAATGCTCTACCCCAGTGATCCCCAACCTTGGGCCTCCAGATGTTCTTGGACTTCAACTCCCAGAAACCCTGGCCAGCAGAGGTGGTGGTGAATGCTTCTGGGACATGTAGACCAAGAACATCTGCAGGCCCAAGGTTGGAGATCACTGCTCTACCCTACCCTTATCTGATAATGTAACATGTTCTTCTACGTATCTTTGCTAGAAACTTATTTACTTATACTGTACTGTACAGTTATGAAAGGGCAATAGTGTGATACTTGGTCCCACTTCCAGCAGTGGATACTTTGAATACCTTACCTTGCATTGGTTGCAAAGTTGACAGTGGAACCAATTGCATAAAGGGAAACACACAAAAAGAGAAAAACACTATGAAATTGCACCTCTGCACACCATTTTTTTTCTGACTGAATTTTGGCCTAAGTTACATAGTAACCTATCAGTAGTTTGGGGCAGGTGGTCTTGCAAATATGCTGGTCTGCCAGCACCATCAACAGCTCTGATAAACTCTCAAGAAGTTTCCCGGAATATGGCTTGAAGACTATGGGAAGAGTATAAGCAAAACTGTTCTTACTGTTGGAAACTGAAGTCATATGCAAATAGTACCTGAAAATTCTCAGATGTTATTTCCCCAACTGTCAAAATATTTCTGCATTCTATATTTTCAGAGTGGAGCAATATACCCCAAGGGCTGCTAGTGATAATCTGATGGCATCTGATAAGTAAAACTGTGTTCTGTGAGGTAGCTAGCACTGGAGAATGTTAAACCACAAGGATTATCCATGTCTTATTAGGCTTTATCCTGTCATCTTGTCTCCCTACCTGTGTGCTTTGTGTGAAATGACCCTATTGAAAAAGATCCAGTGCAGTGAATTACAAAGTTCTACTTATGCTACTCCATATGCAATAGGTCTTTCACAAATTGGAGTCATCACTTGACGTTGCAGAAATCAAGTGACACAACTAATGTGAAAACACAACCTTCTGAAAAGCTCAAACAGGAATTTCTACCTCTCAAAATATTTAGTATTTTCTTGCAGGCGGCCTAATGTGCTCAATTTTGGATCTCAATGCTTAGAATTACCATGTTTCTTGAGATGATCAAGATAAAGATCTTTACTTTCACCCTAAAGGGTCTTTATAAGATACTGACTCCTCCATAGTTAACATCTACTATCCTTTAGTACCCTCCATCATCCCTCCTGCCTCCATTTCCCTACCAGAGATTTGAGCCTGGATTCAATGGTTCCTTATGAACCCATGGAGAGAACCCTAAGAGAACACATGGCAATAAAAACATGGATACAACCAAACTTGGATCGGCAGGGTATGACTGCAGTAACAGATAACTACACAACAGCAGCTTAGAACTATTAACACAGGTCTTAAAACTGTGCATGAAAACTGGCAAGGCAGCAGAAGGAAAACTCCAGGGGTGAAACTGGAAGGAAGGTTTATATAGCTATGGCACCTTTAATTCTTCCCAAATTTAAGGCAGAGCCTTCTTGGGTCAGTTGCACCTTCTCAGCTTGACTTGCTTCACAACCTTTTAATTTTTTAAAAAGATAAGCGGGGATGAGGACAGTCATATATACTGTGCCTTGAACTGACTGGAGGGAAAGTGGGGTGTAAATCTACAGTACTAAACAAATATGGTGAAATGCTCTGCAGTGCTGGGACTCTATAAACTTTTACACAAATGTGGTGTGAAAGAGTGGGAAAAGGTAGGGAAGGTCAAAAAGGTGTTATACTAGATATATGGGAAAGTACACCATCATATTAAACTATAAGCTTCGAAGCAATTTGTCCAAAGAAACAACAATGAAACAAAAATACATAAGGGAAAAGATGGTTCCAATCAGAATTTCCTAGATCTTATTAAAATAGTGTGGTCAGTTTCCTTTAGGTAAGCACGATTATGATGGCAGCAGAGAAAAAATTGACATATGACTGAATGATAGCAGAGACACACAGAAAAGAATTACTCCATAGTAGTTTTATAATGCCAAGTTCAAAATTCAACAGGAAACCTGCAGAATGAAGAAAAAGAGAGAAAAAGAGAAGGGATATTTAAATAAATACCTAGGAGAAACTGATCCTCTGTTTATTTACCATACCTTAATATACAGGGTTTGGTTTTGTTTGGCATGTGAGGCATGAACTGGTGACTCAATTTTAAAACTTCCACAAAATTTACAGTTAGAACTCTGTAGTCTCACTACTCTTCACAGAATAGAACCATTTTTTTTAAAAAAATTGACAAATGTTTCATAGTGCCCCTCTCTTGCACACAGTTCATCATAAATACTGTTTCAACTGCCTTGAATAACATCAGTGTCTTGTTCTATCTTTCTCAATCTGGTGCTCTCCAGATGTGTTGGACTGCATCAAGCAGCTATTCAATTTAGTCTGAGTCCAAAACATCTGTATGGGACAACTTCCCTATTTTCCATTAGCCACGTTTTCTGTTTAATATGAAAGTAACATTTTTCTTTTAGAAATCTATAATTTTGTTCTCCCTTCCCATTTTCTGACATTCTTTTTCTTTTGAATGTTGCCATTTTAAAAAAAAGGAGCAGTGGTTACATTTTACTGAGAAGCCATAGTGGCCTTTTCAATTCTCTGCCCTTCAGCGTCTTTTTTCAAACTACAAGCTCCAATAGGCTTGTGTTCACCCCTACCTACACTAGAGTTCACCAAAAATATGTAAAAAGTATGCAGTGTTTCTGGAGCTACTAAAGATGATGATGATGATAATGTCCTAATTGAAGTGTTGGTGAAGAAAGCTGCAAAGGGCTCATTAACATTGAAAACGATGAAATTACACAAGATAGCAACACCAACTTTGAAAGCATCAAGTCTAACTTCAAGTTTCCCCAGTTTAAAACTTGAACACCCTCCTTCTTGAAGAATTTAAAGATTACAAAGTTTTTGGTTTTTATTTTATTTTCAGCCATTTACTTTGGCCTTCAGAACTTCCAACAAAAGGACACTCACCATTCTTGAGAGAAAATTAAAAAAACCTAAACCCATTGAAAAGCCAACGGACTCATGGACACTACAAAAACTCAGTTCAGTTAAAGGTTGGAAGGTGAGCATGTCAGGATAGGGCCTTTCACAGTAAAACGGAGAACAGCTCACTCATGGAAGAATGTGGTATTTTGTCTTCATGTAAAGAAAGTGTAGCAAAGAAGGAAAAAAGAAAAAAAAAGAGATTCCCAACATGTACACAACACAAACCAAGTTCTCTTAATTCAGTATAAAAAGGCATGTAGGCACCATCTGACAAATCTTGAAATTCAAGGAGGCAAGGAAAACAACACATCTCTGCAATACTGAGGCTAGATTCAGATCTATACATGTTGCAGAATGTGGTGGCAGAATGGACACCTCTCCAGACTGCATGAACTGCCCATATGGAATGCTTCCGTTTGCATAATTTTGCAAACTTTATCTCCAAGTAGGAAATTAACACAGTGGAGATAAGAGTGGAATAAAACCACCCCATACATTAAATTTTCTGCTTGCATTTTTCCTGTGTGTATATGTGTGTTTGGGCAGGGGATTAAAAAAGCACACACACACACACATATATATGATCTACAGCAATGCATTAAAAAAGCACACACACACACACATATATGATCTACACTCATTCTGCCCTCTCATTCCACCACATTTACAGATCAGGGCACTGAATCACTTCATCCAGATCATCAGTGGGCTCACTCTCAGAAATAATGGCTCAAGGCTTGCAAACACATTCAGTTCATATTTCCAATTTATTATGCATTTTTTTCAAGGATTCTTTCCTTCCCCTTTCACCCTTTCCCCTGCATCTCTGAGTTGGAGAACATGCCACATCAAACCCAAATTGGTAGATATTTTGGTATACAGGTGTCAGGAGAAGGCTAAGATTCTTCATTCTAAAGCCACTGGGGAAAAGGAAGAGCAGCAGTCTGAGAAAAAAAAAGGAGGAGGGAGATAAGAATAAGCCATTTTTGTGGTGGCTGGACATGGGCACCGGGTTGCCCTGATACACTGACTGCTCTAAGGTCAAGAGGGCAACAGGATAAAACACAACCCTCCCAAAGTACCAAATTTCCACTTTCCAGTCATGTTAATAAGGGATGCCTCTTCCTCTTCCTCCTCTTGGAGGCACTCTGCTTTGCCCCCGAAAGGCCTTTCCATATGAAGTGGATTGGACTGGATTCCCCCATGTGTGGCTTGTTCCTGTGTCACTAGAACTAGCATTTGCCACTCCCACCTCACTGTAGTTATGAATTTTGGCCTCTGAGTGTACCAATGTGTTGTTGCTCCCCTCAGTTTTGATGAAGGATTGCCCAAGAGCAGAATGTATCCCCAAGGGGACATGAGTGAAACGGAGGTCCTGGTCCCCTGGGAACTGAACCGATCCTGCGCCCTGGTAGGTGCTTGACTCCCCGAGATGACTTGTGGAGTCCAGAAAGGTCCTACTTTTCCCCAAGATCTGGGGTGATGTCTCTGTTAAAGTCTGGTTGGAATCCCGTTCATCAATATCAAAGCTGCAGCCCTCGGGGCCACTGTCAGCGCCGTAAGTCCTGGAGGATGTTTTGGACCTGGTGAAATCCAAGGAGGGCCTCTCAACTTGGGGTTCATGCTTTGGGTGGCTCAGTGGCCCTGCCTCTTGCTGGGATAAAAGGTGCAGGAGGGCAGCTGTCACTGCTGGGTTCAACTCCTGAGCTGCATCAGAGACGTTGTCCTCTGCCAGATTGGGTGGTGGTGGTGGCGGTCCAGGAGGTTCAGGGGGTCTCTTCTCTGGTGGGAGAATGTGAGGACAGGCTGTGGAATGGTTACGGCTTTTAAACACCATCTTTAAAATACACGTGAACAAACATCAACACATTTCAGACACAGATATACAGGGAAGAGCCACAGCTCAAGGAAAAGTCCTAGATGAACTCCTGCTCAAGGCTATCAGAGCACAGGGCTTGACAGACCTCATCCTGATATGCCCGACAGCCATTGCCAGTCACAGAAATGGCACTGGAACTGTAAGTAGGGCTGTATGCATGTTTGAGCTCTTCGAAAAAGAACAAAACAAAACAAACGGAACAGAATTTGTGCAGCAAGATAACCCATACTCTGCAATATGAATACAAGATGGAAAACTTTTAGTCTATTGGTTGTGTGTGTTTTATTCTACTTCTGCTTGTCACTGGAAGATACAAAGAGCTAAGCAGGGTGTGGTAGTCCCACTTACTGGAAGATGCTAAGTCCTCCTCCCTTTGGCTTCTGATATTTCAATAGTTTCCCGCTAACCTACTTTCCAAGACAACCCCTGCAATGAAAAGGGCTAAACTTTTGCTCCTTCAAAATTATCAAGATTTTTCCATAATTGAAATCCATGCGGAATACACACCTATAGCTACTACATTCTGTGCTGGAATGTGTGTGAGTCTGATGGAGAAATCATGGAGAAACTAAGCAATTTACTTCTCATCCCTGTTCATATTAGATGTAGGGATTCTCCCCTGTGTTAATCTTAGAAGACTGTTTGTTGTAAGCAGCTGAACAGAGTAACAGTAAAGGGCCAGGAATGTGTCCTACACCCTGTTACCTTTCATCGGGCTAGGAACCATGCAACTGTTTTCAATTTGGATTGTTGCAGTTTCCTCTACAGGAAAAGCAAGAAAAAGGCCTCAAGGCTTTTGGGGGAGGGCTTCTCCCCTTCACATGGACTGGATTCTGTGTGAATGGCTCCTCTACAAAACAGATGGTTGCTTTTTTTCCAGGTTCAACCTAGTTATGGGCTCAATGCAATTAAATAAAAACAGTGTGTTACATCATATTTGCCATGCATTATTCTAAAGCTGTCTTGTAGCAGATAAAGACTGTAGTTAGGCTACTGTTTTAGAAAATACAGACAAACTAATGCTCATATCTCTTCCTTGCAAAGAGATATGAGCAACAGATGATTCAAAGACTCAGAAAAAACACATGGTACAGTCCTCTTCTGACTGCAGCACTTGTGAATGCAACACTTCCTCCATACAAAGACAGCCAGGAGGGTATTAGCCTAGCCTTCTCAGTACTATATTCACTTTCCATTTGCAAAGTTTTTATGCCAGAGAATATTTAACCTTCTCAGACTACAATGGGATACTTTAGTCCCATGGAGTCACATTTTGCTGCAGAATCAACAAAGAAGTACACCTATAATGTAGGCATTCTACAACATTGTCACTTGCAGTGTTGCAAAGAACTTGCAATGACTTTTTTTCCAATGAATCAAAAACAGCTACAATAAAGACGAGCCCAACAGATGATATATGGTCTTTGCCATTTGGGATTTTTTTTCTATTTCACCCAATATAATGTACAGTGGTGCCCCGCATAGGAACAATAATCTGTTCTGAAAAAATCGTTGCTATCCGGATTCGTCACTATGTGGGACTAAAAACCTCATAGGAACGCATTAAAACATGTTTAATGCGTTCCTATGGGGGAAAAACTCACCGCCATGCGGAAATCCTCCATACAGATGCCATTTTCGCTGCCCGGTATGCGACAGAAACCACGCGAAAACGCTGCGGGCAACCATTTTTTTCAGGTGGCCATTTTGGAACTGCCGATCAGCTGTTTTTAAAACATCGCAATGTAAAGATCGATAAGCGAAACGCTTACCGATCATCGTAATGCGATTTTTGGCCATTGAGAAAGTCGCAATGCGATCGCTTTTGCAATTGCAAAAAACGCATCGCTATGTGGATTCGTCATTAAACAGGGCGCTCACTATGCGGGGCACCACTGTACTTGGACAACCCCAACAAAAATGTCATGCTCTTTTTCAGCTAACCATGATGTGTTGAAACAAAATTATTGTGCTCTGGTTATCTGCTGGGTGACTCTATTCAGTGGAAATGTGATTTCCCTTGAAGGGGGTGTCACTGGAATTGACTGAGACCACAAAATACACCACAGAATGGAACAGTGCCCCCCTTTTTAAAAAAAACTCAAAATGCAAGAGAAACCCTTTTGGCCACAAGATAAACTCTTTGTTATGGTAATACAGTGGTGCCTTGATTTACGAATGTCCCAACCTATAAACATTTCGAGTTATGAACCGCTCCTTTCGCAAAATTTGCTTTGACTTGTGAACAGAGCTTTGACTTATGAACAAAAAAAACCACGGGGAAGGAGGGAAAGTTGAACTTTCAGTTAACTGTTGGCCAGCGAACAGGCTGCTTGTCTGCTTCCTCGCTCGCCCCAGCAGTTAGAGAGTGTGGATACGGAGAGAGACTTCAGACTGCCTACTGCCTGGTACTGTACTGCAGAGACTGTATTTTTTTGGCTTTTTTATTTTTTAGGATTTTTGACTTTCTTCTTTAAAACAAAGACTGCCTGTTCTGGGTGAGTACACTGTATTTACTGTACAGGGGTTTTGCAGCTTGGGGTTGGGCTAGGTGGGGGGTTATGTTTCTGTGCTGGCTGTTGGTTTTAAAATCAGAAAACTGTTTGCAAAGGTCTGTCTGGCTGTTGGCCTCTAAAGTGACCTCTTTTTTGTTTTAAAAGGTGTTGGTGGGTGGTCTTAAAAGGTGTTTGGTTTGATTTAAAATGTGTTTTGTTTAAAAGTTGCTTGGTTTAAAATGTGTTGTTGTAAAATGTGTGGGTTTAAATGTGTTTTAGACTCCAAACTCTCCCCCCCACCCCCTTGTCTTCTCTCTCTGTCTTCTCTCTTTTTGTGCTTAAAAGCGCAACCTTTGTCTGAGGGGTCTGTGTGCCCCAGTGATGACCTTCCTTCTTTCCTTCCTCTTTTCCCCATTGTCCCCTCCCTCCCTGCTTTCCTGCCCCCTTTTTAACCTAAATTCATCTTAGGTTAAAAGAAGAAAAATTCTCCATTTAGTGGTAGAGTACGGATGAACTGGTTTTGCATTAGCTCCTATGGGAACTAATGCTTCGACTTACAAATCGTGCCTCGACATAAGAACAAAAAACAGTTGGAATGATTAATCGGGTTTCAATGCATTCCTATGGGAAATGCTGATTTGACTTACGAACATCTGGGATGGATTAAGTTCGTAAATCAAAGCACCACTGTACCTTTTTTAGGCCTCTTAAAAAGTCACAAAATTCTCTGTGCAGTCTTTCAAGATAACATACCTTCTTCTTAGGCATGAGGTTAAAAAAAGTGACAGAGGGGAAGGCTTGATATTAAAAAAATGTAGTCTACATGCTATCTAAAGATACAATGGGAAAACTGCAAATGGTAAAGCATAGTTTATAACCCTGAATGCCCCCTAGACTTGCTGTGAAAAAGGAAGGCATAAAAGGCAATAAACTCCCAACTGCTTTTCCTCACAGTTTGTAACAACATGACTGAGAAACTGATGAATTATCTTGAGAGCTTGCACAGAGTATTTTGTGCCTTTTTAGCTGACCTACTAAGGCTTCACTCTAATATGGATTTTGGATTTTATTTTATGTAATTTTAAGTTACTTAATTCCACCTTGTTTCTTCTGGGCCTGAGCATCTGACTGGAACAGACTTCATTTTCCACAAACATTCTTGGCAGTGGGACATTTCTACATCTCACAATACACTGGAATCTTCATTGGGATCAAATAACCCATAATTCAAGTGACTAAAGTGCTACTAAAGCAAAAGAGTAAAACAATCAACCCCCTATCTACATTCTAAGGTGATGAAGTCCAAAAAAGATTGTACCATGGGCTTTTTCTGAATGTCTGAGTCAGTTCTGTGTGATGGGTAATTACTGCTGCTTCTGCTGCTGATTCAGATATTTGTTTTTATATTTTTAAACACTTTCCCCATCTTACATCCCAAAACTTACCCTGTGAAGTAGATCATTATTCTGATTTAGAAGATGAAAGAAGGACAAGAGGACACAATCTACTCAATGACTTAATAATGTGGTTTCTCAGGAGCCCAAAACTGTCACCAAATTCCACACACACTCAGAGAGATGACTACAAGGCTTGGTTACAGAAAATTCAATGTGTTTTTTATTGACCACTTGGAAAGCCCCCACATCATTTCCCCCCTTAAGTCTTAGGTGCAAGGGGGTGGGGTGGGTCACAATTATTTACCTGCTGTTTCCTCCTGAAGCAAAGTGGGGGTTTTCCGTGGCCCCCTCAGCTCACTGCTCTTTTCACTGTTGTTCTCCTCCACATTTGCTGCAGGCTCCTGGGTCTTGATGAGTTGGCTCAACAAAACAGCTAGGACGCTCTGCACGTCTCCCTGAGTGCTGGCTGCTTCTGGGGTGGCTTGATCCTCAGATGGCTGGGCTGGGGGTGGTGGCTCCTCAGTGGCTGCTACTTCTTCTTCAACTACTTTCTGGGTATCCTGTGGTAATTGAGTGGTGGTGGTGGCAGCTTCATTGAGTGCATTGATGGACTGATTGAGAGCTTCCAGCTGTTGCTGCATCTCAGGATTTGAGTGGATATTGAGCAGTTGGGCCATCTGTGGGACGCTGAGATCTGTCTGACTCTGCAACAAGTTCAATAAGACTGCCAGTTCGCTCTGATTCAGCTGCTGGGTGATGTCGCCAAGGCTTGCTGCAAACACAAGGAAGAACACCAGAGAAGAGAAGCAGGGGTAATCAGAACTTCAGGAATGGAAAAGCACTATGGGCAACCGCCCCACCTTTCAAAAAGCACATACAGTCGCAGATTTTTTTCCTTCTCTGAGATGATTTCTAAAAATGCCAAAATGCAAACTATGAGTTCTGTCAGTGTAAGGATGTGGAGTACATGGGCAGATCAAGGATACAAGACTATTCTGCTCATCAGAAAAACTACTTCAAAATGCCAGTCATTCACTTAGCACACCAGATGCATTGCATGCTCTACTTGTGGGCCTAAATCTAAAGGATGAGCTGGAGATGTGTAGGATAGAAGACTGCAAAAAGGCTTCAGCCATCATCTCCTGTATAGATAAAGTACTACTTTAAGAATTTCCTCTTTCCACCCGTTTTGTTTACCTAGATTATATTAGCCTAAATTATATTCAGATTTCTATTTCCACCCCATCCCCCGCCCAGACAGCTGGTTCCCCTGATAACAGGGGACAATGTTTTTTGACCTCATGGTATTTATATTATCTGTTCCCCTATGACAGAGTTGTCTGTGCTCTTGTATTACGAGGACTACTGCAACATAATATATGCCAGGCTGCATTTGGAGAGTGCCTAGAAACATCAGGTAGCTCAGACTACAACCAAAGGTCATGTGACTTCAACTGACTACAGGGAGCATATCTGCATTTGCTCTGTGCTATCCAATCACTTGTGAGTTATGCTAACTCTGCTATGAGTTTCAATCTCCTGGGGAATGTATTACACCAGTCTACAAAAACTGACAAGTCGCAGGTCAGGACTAAGTGTTGGTGCTTACTTTTGAAATCCTAGGTAATTGGGAAAATTAAATTAGGCAACCTTCAGTCTTGAGAGACTATGGTAACGTGCTCTTAATAGAGGATTTCGAACAGCATCTAGTGTGGCTGAGAAGGCCAATTCAAGAGTGATAATCCCTTCAGCACTGAAGACAAATACAATCTGTCCCCTGTCCAGCTCCCTGATTTTGCTGGTTTCGGGACTGCCTCTTTGCCTCGGCTTGCTGGAAAAGGTAAAGGAAAAATCTGGAAGGTAGATACCAAAAAGAACACTTATTTCCACTTCATCCTGTTCATATGTTGAAAATATCAATGGAAGCTCTTCTCTTTTCTGGATGCCCCTGACACCGGAGCGAAACCAGGGGGAAAAAAGCATCCTCACCCCATTTTGGAATTTCCTCCCCAGACATTAATATTTCCAGTCTTACTGTATGTAATCTGTCTAACTTCTGTTCTTGCTGAGAACATTTTCATGTTGATCTTAGTACAATTCTTTTGATCATTTTTGTAAATTATAAATTTATTTTCTTCAAAACCACCCTGACCACTGACTGGTTAAAAGCACCTTGGAAACATCTAAAATATCTAAACTATAAACTATTATTTTATTTTATTCAAAGTATTCTTACCTCATCTTTCTCCCTAAAAGAGGACCCATAGTGGCTTACATAATTAAAAACATATTAAAAACCAAAAAAGTACATTATTCCAATATTTAAAAAGAATTAATAAAACGTTATGTAAAACTATTATAGAAAACAGATGGAACTATGTCTTAATTTGTTTTGCTGTGATATACAATCTCTGGGAGATGCTTACAGAAGCAGCTATACCCACTTAGTGCAACAGCTACCATCATGTGTTAAACAGGGCTTCAGGTGATGAAAGGGAAGGACAGGCTCACCGCTTCCTCACTCCATCAGCAACATTCATGCATGCAATGTGGAAGTTTGAACAGGGGAAGCAGCAGGTTTCTATTTGAGTGGGATCCCAGCTTGCAATGGCTACAAGCTTCATGTGCTTCAACATCAAAGCTCAATGTAGTGCAACCTCACTTCCTCTGTTTACATGAAAGGGGGAGAGGAGCAGAGGTAGAAACTTGACCCTTTGTGAATATTCATGTAAAGTACTCATGTGTGTACTTTAACTCCTTTTAGAAAGAATCAGATGTGATAAAAGTGGCCCGTCCTTCACTGGTTAGTACAGCTACACTGATGGCCTGCATCCTTACTTGCTACTGCAATCCCCGATGGGCACAAACCCACATCATTATAGCTTGCTAAACCCACTAAGACAACAGTTGTAGCCCTTTTGCCCCAATTTTTCCTGCAGAGACCTGACTTCAGAGTATCACCTCTTTCATTAGCCCTTGAGCAAGGCAGCCGGCAGCCAACTGGCTGATGAAGAGGAATCCACAGTAATAAGAAGTTTTAGATAACATATTAGATAGCTTTAGGGATTGCCCCATCATATATATACTGACCAAATGAGTCTCCAGCACCAGATTGGACTTTGATTTGGGCAGGCTGTGGCTGTAATGGACTGCTGTGATTCTTTACAGTATCTGTGCTTGTTATGGAAGCTGACTCCTTCCGGGAAACCTTTGCCGAAGAGGGCTCCTCCACCACAATACCACTTTGTCGCTGTCGCCGCCTTTTCTTGCTCCACAGTTCATGGCAGTCTTGCCAGCGAGGAAGGCTAAAAAGACAGCAAACTGATATTTCTGAGAGGGGAATAATGAAGGTGGTGATAAAGAATCAAAGAGTACATTCTTAATAAGTTAAAAGAGATGGACTCCCTGTGGACAATCTTTTCACTACAACTTACATATATCTTGGGCTGCATTAAGACTAAGTTTAAGACTAGAGATTTTACATGTTATGTGGAAGCTGAATTCTCCAGGTCTCTTCTGTAACTAAGTGGGGAGGCAGAAATAGGAAGCAAGGATCTCTTAGTGGATCTTCGTTGCCCTTACTGCAGGGATGGGCAAAGTGTAGGCCAATGGCCACATGTGGTCCCTAAGGTCCCCAGCACAGCCCTTCCAACACATCTGGCTACCAGGGGAAAATGTATTCCTCAAAATAAAGAATATAGGCTTCATGGAATGGCCTTTTGTAGCCAAAACAAAAACAAAACAAAAAAAACTGGAGGGAGCAAAATGGCCTTTTGTAGCCAAAACAAAAACAAAACTGGAAGGAGCAAAATTATACAGTGGTGCCCCGCTTGACAACGATAATCCGTTCCACAAAAATTGCTGTTTAGCAAAAACATTCTCTTGCGAAAACCGTTTCCCCATTGGAATGCACTGAAACCCATTTAATGCGTTCCAATGGGGAAAAATAGTTGTTGTTCTGCGAAGATTGCCCATAGGGAAGCCATTTTGTGAAGCGCCGATCAGCTGTTAAAATGGCTCCCCTGTGAAGCATCTGTCCTGAAAACACCCGTTTTGCGAAGCGCTGATGAGTGGCAAAATGTCGTCTTGCAAAAATCGGTTTGCAAAGCAGGGATCCAAACATCGTCCAGCGAAAATCGCCCATTGGAATCACTATTTTGCGAACTGCTATAGCGATTGCAAAACCTCATCATGTGGATTCGTCGTTTTGCGAGGTCACTGTCTAGCGAGGTACCACTGTATTTATAAGGGAAATGGCACCCCAAATGTTTCTAAGGGCATGATTAGCCATTTCAGGGACTAAATTCACCCCAACAGCATGTGGGAGTGGGGTGGGGGATGTAGCTCAGAAAGATCCAGGGATAAAACGGCCCCCTGGACCCTTCCAAGTTTCCTATCACCTGGATACAATAAGTGACACATTGTTTCTCCATATGCAAATGAGAAACAAGCATTGAATCACATTACTGAGGCATTTCCAACCCATTCACTTCCTCCCACATGAGACTGGCTTGCAAACTGGGATGATGTGACTCCTTTCCGTCAACAGGCACTATCACTAATATGGTCAAGGCTTGTGCAACCACATGTAAATGCAGCACCTTTTGTGCATGCTTCCCCTCATCTTTCTGATTGCGACATGCAGTGATCTGAACCACACAGGCAACAGGGGTGGAAGTTTGGGTGGATCTGTGTTGGTATAAATCCAAGCACCCAATACAAAGAATCTCCTCATTTCAATCCCAAAGGCACCTTTCCCTGAGGAACAGTGGTGTGCTTACTCTGGAGGGTCCATCTTGCTAACATCAACATCTTTTAGGAAGTCACTTTGCAAGGCTTGCTCTGCTGTGCATCGTTTACTAGGGTCCAGTGTCAACATGTGGTCCAGCAGATCAAGTGCAGCAGAAGGAATGCTGCAAGAGAGAAAATGTAGAAGAAATAGAGTTTTCATAAGGTAATATTTTTCTACAGTACTTTCCCTAAACATATAAGGTACTTTGCCACAGTCAAAACATGTTGAAACACCTAAGCTGAGATCTGGAGAGAACATTCTAAGTTGGGAGACTATGACAGAGATCTTGTGTGTACTTTCAGATTTAGAATTCAGCTCCCAATCTTTTTGCTAAATTACATCTACACCTTATCCTACAGGAAAAGTATAGAGAAAAACAGTAGCCTCACAATGACCTGCAAAACAGTTCTGTTTGGAAGACTTCGTAAAAGCAAGGCAGTATGCTTCCTAGCTACACAAGGATATGAACATCATCTTTTCAAACAGCAGTCCATTTCTTTATTACACCACAACTGTTTGCGCACCTGTATTACTGAAACCACCTTATGTCTTAAGCCTTGCTAACCTCCCTTTGGGATGAGGGCATGCCACAAAATGCTCTAAGCAGAGGGATTCACTCCAGACAGTGAAGAGGCACACCTACTTCCATAATGTAATCCCAAGCTGAAGAATTAATTTAGCATATGGAAAGATTTGGCTTCTGTCCCCAAAATCTATCATGAAAGGACCCCTGGAAAGGGCATCTGTTAAGAGAGCTACTGCCAGTGAGCAAAGACATTTCTTAGCTGAGAGGATCAATGGCCTAACACAGTATTAGTCTTCTTCATGGGAAAGGAAGTGATAAACTAGGAAAGCTCCTTATTAAAAGTGTGTCTCCCAACAAAATATTTCAGTCGCTCTGCTGTCCCTAACAGATGCATTCTTGTATAAGGCTGCTACCAGAATGGAACAAAACAGGCATAGCTCTCTTTGGGGTCCTATTTGCCGGAAATCTTTCCCACTGCAGACTGCTACGCTACTTGAGTTTGGTTCCAGCTACAAGGTCCAAATAAAAGCACTTTATTGCTAGGTATGAAGGAATTCTTGAACATAGGAAAGAAAGAATGCATGGCAGTGGAGAGAGAAGGCACTCATGGCACTTTTCCTCCAGAGTTAAAAAAAAACTGCCTCTAAGATACTCCCCACAAGCAGTTCAGGGCTCAAGAAAGCAATTGCCTCCCTCTCCTCCATTTAACAATCTGTGGCTAGGCTACTGTAAACATTCCATTGTTCCTAGAAGCTCACAAGTCTTTGCTGAGGCCTCTTTTCCCAGATGTATGCGTTTCTTTACAGACTGATGTACTTCTGTATACTCTAAGTATGCAAATACTGCAGCCTTGTCTCTGTGTGGCTCTGTTTTCCTGCCAAACTGATAGAAAGGGACCACCAATTTCTGTATCAGAAGACTTTGTTCAAAGTTGAAGTTGGGCAAATTATCAGAGGTAATCATGAGTATCACTGTTGAGCTGCATAGTTTGGTTTTAGCATTCTAACTTTGTACACAAAGTCTGAGCAGATGTAACCCAGAATGTTAATTTGCTCCTTGATTACACCCCATTTACCAGTCTCTCTTTCTGTTGTTTCCCCCATGTCAGATCTTAGACCATAAGCTACTTGGGACAGGGGGCCTATCTCCTTGTACTTTGTAAATAGGCCATGTCCAGTGATGGCCTTACAATAAAACTGACATTTTCAGATGGTACTCTTGCCTGACTGGTTTAGCTTTCACTCCACCCACTTTTGGTGCAGGTTCCACATTTGGCATGCTGCCCAAGGTCAGCCACAAAGGAGTGTAGTCCTTGGTTTCAAAAAGATTCTAGAGCCTCAGAATAAATTAATACACACATGAAGCAGCTGCAAATAGTACTCCTCCCATCATTCAAAAGTCATCCTGAACAAAATGGCTTTAAATTGTTTTCTGAAACGGATAGAAAGGCAACCAGGCAAGCCTTCATGAGAAGGTTCAAAACAAACTTACAAGGCAAACTCCTCCCGCAAACGCCTTCGATATTGTTTCTTCGGTTTCATGGTGTTGAAGTAGGGAAGTTTGATGACATCTGGCCACACAGCTGGACATGGGCTCCCACAAAGACGGCTACAAAAAAGTGGGAAAGAATAAAACATAATTTGTTATTGGAATTATTCACCTATCATTTTATCTTAAAAGACTTAAAAGACTGGCTTGCAGAAATATTAAAAAGTGCATGCATGCATGCTCACACACAGATACAGACTTTCTTTCAAATGAGATAAGGCTTAAAGCTGAGACTATGTGGATAAAATACTACATGGTCTTAGCTTTAATCCTATTTCATTTGAATTCTATCCATCCTGGGCTGAAGAACACTGATCGGTATTCATGTTAAGAGTAGGTTACATCCATTTTCTCTCCCAATTGGGTTTGTGTGTGTGTACAACCTCCCTTCCCCTGACATCCTCCAGTGAGATCAGTAATACAGAGCTTTCTAGCAAGGGCAGACAGATATATATGAGAAGTCGACTGAAATACAAACAGGGAGCAAAATACTTTCAGAAGCAACAGTTATAGAATTAGCCAGTGCAAGATTAGCAATAGAAAATTGTCTGTTTCTTTGCCTTTTAAGGACTCCTGTGATGCTAGCTGTCCTATCAACCAGGTTGCTTTTCAAAACAGAGATGCTACCCATTTGTACAAAATGGAAATGACTCACTACTCCTTGTAGTCAAATACAAAGTATCAGACAAATTCAGTGATGCTTCATATTGGGACAACAAGGAGGGGGCTGTTGTTGTCGATATACCATCAAGTTAATTCTTACGGTGACCCTTTCCAGGGTTTTCCAGGTGGAGAGTACTCAGAAATGGCTTACTATTCCTTTCTTCTGGGGGTGCCCTGGGACTCTGGAGCTTGCCCAAGACCACACCGGCTGGCTCTTCTTGCAGGAGGCAAAGTGGGGAATTGAATTCCACAACCAGATACCTAAACTACTGAGCTATCCAGCCAGCAAAGGGTTAGCTAACAGGAGATATGTGGCAGTGAAATTCGGGGGGGGGGGGTGTTAGTGCAGTGAGTTCTCAAACTGTGGGATGGCTTCCCCCGACCATACACAGGCATCAAGATACTTCTAAGAAAGTATGTCATTCCAGGGAAAGAGAAAATATTACAACTACCAGAGCCAACACTAGGTCTGTGTCGCAGCCATTCGAATGTGATCGGGCCACAAATTGTTCACTTCTGCATTACACTATCAATGGAAGCTGTACTCCAATTTTTATCTGAGATATTCTCTTCTTCTAAAACAATGTTGGTTTACCAAAATCCTTTCCGCAGATAGGAGTGAAATGCACTAGGAGATTTTGCATGCCCGCTTCCTAAAGAGGGAACTGCCATAGTTGGAAATGTAATAGTTTAGTAGATGGAGCACATTTAGATGGAGCAAGAGTTGAATTAAGTGTGAGGGAAAGGAGTGCCTCTGTGATGGGGGTAGCTAGGGTTTCTACCTAATTTTGATCTGATGTCAACTAAATGGGCATTCAAGAGACATCTAGGGAAGTTATTTTTCTCTTAGTGATATCAAATCTCAAAGTTTGTTTCTTGATGTCTGTGACGCAAAGAAACACCACCACTTATTTTCTGCTCATACAAAGAACTGGTGTGTACAGATATCTGGCAACTTGGTTGCACATTTTAAATAACTGCTAGCAGTTCAGAAAAACCACTTGCCAAGAGAAAGCAAACGAACTGTTTCCTGCACACAACTTTCATTTCTACAGTGAATGACATACCTGATTAATTCAAGCTGGGACAACTCAAGGTTGGCTTGAAAAATAGGCTTCTTTGTAAACAGTTCTCCAAGGATACAGCTGGGATAGAAATAGAGGGGGAAATGAAATCAATAGCAGCAAGTGGTTTTAATATTTGCATGGGTACAGTTGGAGGCAAGGATTCATGGCTGTAATAGTGAAAGTAAAGGGAAGAGATGAGCAGCATTGTTGCCAAAGCAAATGATCAGCTGCCAAAATAGGAAACCAACCACAAATTGTGAAAAACGTGATTGCATCATTTTCCATTTTGAAACATTTACGTCTATGAGACATTCAACATTCCAAAGGACACAGGCCACTCTAAATAAATACAGAAGAGAGGTAGCTAGGAAATCTCTGTTCCAGCTAGGAGAGTTTTACCATCTGGCTCATAGCAAAGATGGACATCACAGAACTAGAGAGAGGAATATTCAGTTTTTCTCCTTAATGCAGGGAAATGAGTGGAATCTTTATGCAACAAAAGGCCAAGTTATCAACATTTGACAGGCATAATATTATCCAAAAAATAATAACAAAGAAAGCCCACAGGCACTTTTAATGAAGTAGGAACTCATATAGACATGGCCACTGCTTTGGTGCATATTGTGGAATCTAAATCATAATTTTATTACTTAGTTTGCATTAAATTTTATAAGCCAGCCAAGTTACTACAGCATATCTAAATAATGTTTAAAATGGAAAGTTCCAAATAAAAATCTTTTTAAAAAAGGCACATAAATGTATGAGCCACTGCAAACTAACAGGTGGGGAAGTGCTCAGTCAGGATATTAGCAGGCACAAGCTTCTCTCAGACGGCAGAAAGAACAGGAGTACTTGACTCACCCACAGCTCCAGACGTCTATGGCTGGTGTGTAACGCTCCTCGCCTAGCAGCAACTCAGGTGGTCGATACCATAATGTAATTACCTTATTGGTATATGGACGGCTAGATGGAGGAGAGAAAAAGCAATCTAAGTAGCATCACAAAGATTTCGAAAAAGAATTAGAGCACATAGACTGGAACCATAGTGGTAAAAATAACTAAAATTTTGAGTAAGAATAAAACTCCCATTTTGGATTCAAGTCGCTTCCTCCTATACACAGACAAACTAAACTGAAGAAACACTGATCCTCCAAATGTTTTGGACCACAACGTTTAGTGCTGCCCATGCTGAGTAGGCTAATAAGAGCAGAAGACCAAAATGTCTAGAAGGTTTGTTGAAATCTAGTGCACACTACTCCAAAATCTCTAATAAGGAGTGGCTTTATAAACCCCATAAATAATTAAGATCACAAGTGCCCCCACTCCTCCTGTAGGTTTCAATCCCAAACCAGTGAGATTTTTCTGCATAAACTCCACTGGCCCAAACAGGAAATATGCAAGAACATATTTCTGCCGTTCTGCCACTGATTTTCATAGATCTGAAAAGGAGTCTACTCTGGTGGATTACATCTGAAAGTGCTAGACATATGTCTCTGAAGCACCTTACCTTTCTTCTGAACTATAGAGTCGGGCAAGTCCAAAGTCTGCCAATTTGATCTGCCCACTGCAAAAGAAGGAGATAGTGGACGTTTACTAATGAAACTCTACACAAAAGCACAAGTAGGCAACAGGAAGTGAGCAAGAATTACTAGAATGGCACTTTCACTTTTCACTTCATGTGCAGCTCACATTCTCTCAGGATATCCAAGCATAAAACTTTTAAATAGGGGGGGAACACATATTTAACAGCAAAACCTAAAACAAGGAATAAGGTCTTGCATGTTAAAAAGAGAGAGAGTGGATTTCAAAAGCCCAAATCCTAAACAGCTAACATTGCACAAAGGAGACTTGCTCACAAAACCTGTCCCCAGTTTCAAACTGGAAAATACCTCCACCACTTATAGAAGAATGTTTCTCAACATCTCACTTTTCATATGCTTGGTGGACTTCAGCTCTCAGAACCACTGACCCTGATGGCTTGGGCCTCTGAGAACTAAAATCCAAACATATAGTAGACTAAAGTTTGAGAACCACTGTTACAAACGTTCCAGGGCAGCCACTGCACCTCCTGCCTCACTGCTCCCTAGGTTCCTTTGCTCAGTCTCCTTCCGCCTCCTGTTAGAGTAGAAAAAAGCACTATAGCAAATGGGGTAAAACCAGTAAAACACATATGGAGGAATACAGGGCAGAAGTAATTCCTATATCTAATTCCAGAGTCTCAATATTTTTTTAAAATATAGAAACAAAATTTCTGGGTTGTCACCAGCATTGTGCTGTGTTTTATACTGAACATCTAAGAGATGATACACACTCAGCAATCTGAGTGCCAGTTATCATGGCCAGATGAGATACAAATTTATCTGATATACATCCTATATATCTTCCAGAAGTGACACTAAAAGCAGTAAAGAACGTGGTTAATGAAAAAGTTACACAAAAACACAGAAAATGTAGAATTAAAAATCAGTTAAAAGCACTTAAAAGCACAGTTACAAGAGGAACAAAGAGAAAGAGAGACCCATCTATTAAAAAAATCTTGTTTGGCAAGCAGTGGATCATTCAAAGCCCATCTGAATAAAAAGATATTTGCTTGCTGGTAGAAGAACTGAGAAGGGGGGGAAGCTTAAGTGTCACTGAGAGCTGAAATCTAAACATACTGTTCTCAAACTTTAGCCTTCCATATATTTGGATTTCAGCTCTCAGAGGAGATTCATTAGCCTGGGAACAGCCACTGACAAAGGTATTGTTCACATTTGTATCAAGCTTCCAAAAGTGGCAGACCTGAAAGAAATGCCTGCCCTAAATGTTATTATTTTTATTGCCTGCGATGTCTCACATGGGAGAATATGTTCCTTCATAAACATGAACCCAAGCCATTCAGAGCTTTATAAAGCACAATTCTGTAAGGAAAAAGCATTTTCAAAGGCTAGTAGCCTGGAAGACTGCTATAACAACATGGGTCTTCCCTTTAATCCACTACAGTCTGGCCACAGCATACTGAACAGCCAAATCCTCTTCAAAGGCAATCCAATATAGAATATGTTATGGTACTAAACAGGATATAACTAAGACCTGTGTTATTTTGGTAAGATCAGGTATCTCCAGGAATGCGTACTGTTAGCATATAACTTTAACACTACAAGCACGCATGTGGTCACCACCTACATTCCCTCTAAGCTGCCCGTGCGTGCAGAGCTCTATCGGGGCTGCACACTGGCAACCAGTGTTACTGCCTGTTTAGTTCTGGTTTTGGCTGGAACCCTGAACACATGGAATGAGACTCCTGCACAGCAGGGACGAAAATTAGAGGGAACACTGGTCAACACTAAAACCTGGACATCCAGATTTAGGAGTACATTCAAAACTGAATTCAGGAGTAAACTCGAAACTGCAACCCTGAGGCTTCTGAAGGAGTATAACCCCATCCATCAGTTCAGTAACTAAGAAATGTAAAAAAAATTCTCTTGCTGGTGCAATAATTTTAGGAAAACAGCAAGGTGTCCTCAGAAAGATCACTGCCCCAGTACTAGCCTGCTAACAGAAAAGACTTCACTTCTTGCTTAAATTTGACATGAACAAATTACAGAAGACACAACAGAGCTTCCCTCTCAGGTCTTAGAAAATTAAGAAGGAAACAAAGGAAGCCATTTCTTAACAGTCTGGCCACGAATGGACAGAAACCTAACATATGTCCTAAATAAAGTGGCATCCTAAACTCAACCAGCAGAAGAGAAAGCCAAGCTGTCACCTGTTATTTAATAAGATGTTGGAGCATTTGATATCTCGATGGAGAAAGTTTTTTTTGTGACAGTAGTCCAGTCCCTCCATCAACTGCTTCATGAAAGACTTGATGTGGTCCTCTGAGAAATGCACCAGTCCAGATTCTAACAATCCCATGAGGTCATGGTCCATATATTCAAAGACAAGGTAAAAGGCACCTGTCAGAAAGTGAAAAGAAGGGATCACTTTTAAGTGTGAAGGTGTGAAAGAAGGGTGGGACCTGTGTGCTGGGCAGGCCCTTCATGCACCTCCTGCCCCTTCCAGAGCCCCCCCCCAAGGTATACAAATGAAGAACTCACTTTCCCTTCTAAGAAAAAAAAGAGACAACTAAGAATACATTGCTCATCACTTATACCCCCTTCTCTCTCTCCCTCAGTATTCACCATCAAGATCCAATGAATTTGGGAGGAGGCGACCGTGATACTGTGCCAGTCTATACTGAGCTTATAATAATACAGAATCAACTCAACAGGTTAGCGAAGCTCCTCTACATTGTATTCTGCCCAACAGATGGGCTCTGAACTATGGTCACAAATCTAGTTTTTCTTTTTAAAAACTGTAAATTTCCTCCTTCCTATACTGATTACAATCGCCACAGCAATTAATAGACTGGAACAACTTGAAACCTTTCTCAAGTCTCTCACAGAAGATCCTCAAAGAAGAGATAACATTTCAGATGTTCATGTTTATAATAAGGCAAAAATTTATGATTCTGGAACTCCCCACATAACAAAATATATAGCCCTGACAAAATGCATTACTGAGAGTGCAAAGAATGTTCACTGCTATTAAGTGAGCCTCTTGACCCAAAGTAAAGGCCTGAAGTCTCCCACTATATATCTGAACCCCATACCATATTCCCTAAGTGTGAATACCTTTGTCCTTCTTGAAATCCAGTGCATCTTGTTTATCTGTAACAATTTCCTTCATGTTGACAACACTGCGGTGAATCAACTGCCGGAGGATCTTGATTTCACGGATAGCTGTGATGGGGAAGCCCTCCTTTTCATTATCCAGTCGCACTTTCTTCAAAGCCACCAATTCACCTGAGAAACACAGAATGTAGTGAGGAAAAATTCCAAATAACTATTTGAAATAATTGTGAGATCCATGAAAAGTTTAGCTCTCTTAAATATAACGCATCCTAAAATGGCATGTTAGTACAATAGCACTTTTGATTAGAACTGGTTGTGTCAGGAGCATAAAATTGTGTGTGTGTGTATACAGTATATATATATATATAGCTGGTCAGGTAGTAGCTTTCATCCTTATAAATAAATCCTCATATAGTTCAGCAAAACTACTATCCAACATTCTAAGCATTATTCATCATAGAAAAAACAGACAAATATTCCTTATTGTCAACAGTCTTGGACATTTCATTCTTTCAAATACAGTACTTGCAAGAGTTTTGTGAAACCATTGATTTTGAAGGCTTTAGCAGAGCGGCAATCATTGTTGTTTACTCGTATCCGACTCTTTGTGACCCCATGGACCAGAGCACGCCAGGCCCTCCTGTCTTCCACTGCCTCCCAGAGTTGGGTCAAATTCATGTCGCTAGCTTCAGTGACACTGTCCAACCATCTCGTCCTCTGTCGTCCCCTTCTCCTCTTGCCTTCACACTTTCCCAACATCAGAGTCTTTTCCAGGGAGTCTTCTCTTCTCATGAGACGGCCAAAGTATTGGAGCCTCAGCTTCAGGATCTGTCCTTTCAGTGAGCACTCAGGGTTGATTTCCTTCAAAACGGATAGGTGTGTTCTTGGCAAGGTGATGTCTCTGCTTTTTAAGATGGTGTCTAGGTTTCTCATCGTTTTCCTCCCAAGAAGCAGGCATCTTTTAATTTTGTGATTGCTGTCACCATCTGCAGTGATCATGGAGCCCAAGAAAGTAAAATCTGTCACTGCCTCCATATCTTCCCCTTCTATTTGCAAGGAGGTGATGGGACCAGTGGCCATGATCTTCATTTTTTTGATGTTGAGCTTCAGACCATTTTTGCTCTCTCCTCTTTCACCCTCATTAAGAGGTTCTTTAATTCCTGCTCACTTTCTGCCATCAAAGCGGTATCATCTGCATATCTGAGTGGAATCATGCTAGGTCCCAAATTGGGAAATTCAGTGTCTGTCTCAGTCTAACTTACTATGCATGTGGGCACTATCAATACGACAACATGACTCATCTATCCACTGGGGATTTGCTCCCCCCATGGATATATACAGTGGTGCCTCGCTTTACGATTGTCCCATTTAACGACAAAACCGCATTACGATGAACTTTTTGTGATCGCTTTTGCGATCGCAAAACGATGTTTCCTATGGGGGAATTTCGCTTTGTAATGATTGCTTCCCTGTTTCGGGAACCGATTCTTCGCAAAACGACAATTTTCCAACAGCTGATTGGCGGTTTCAAAATGGCCCCCCGCTGTTTTCTGGGACAGATTCCTCGCTGCACAAGCAGCAAAAATGGCTGCCCTATGGAGGATCTTCGCTGGACGGTGAGTTTACAGCCCTTTGGAACGCATTAAACGGGTTTTAATGCGTTTCAATGGTTTTTTTCTTTTTGCATTACGACGTTTTCGTTCTACAGCAATTTCGCTGGAACAAATTAACGTCGTAATGCGAGGGACCACTGTATATTTTCCCTGAAAATAAGACCTAACCTAAAAATAAGCCCTAGTTTGATTTTTCAGGACGCTCATTATATAAGACCTACTCCCAAAATCAGTCCTAGTTAAGTGAAATCCCGCTCTCCACACTGTGCAGCAACCAGAAGATGACATGACTGTAAAATAAACATCTTCCGAAAATAAGCCCTAATGCATTTTTGGAACAAAAATTATTATAAGACCCTATCTTATTTTCAGTGAAACACAGTATATAAGCATAATAAAAGGGGAAAAATGGGGTGGGAGGAATAATTTTCATATGCAATACCAAAACTGGCCACTAAAGGCCACCAGAGACCATGTTATGTATTCTTCACTAGCAAGTACTCATAACATGGCTTCTGGTTCCCTCTAGTGTCTGGTTCTGGTAATACACGTGAAAATAATTTTTCTGGATTTTTTTCGTTTTTTTTAACCTTTTCAGATTGTGGATAAGTGAAACCACAGATACTGATCCTGCAGATACAGGGGTCCTACTGCACTTTCAGCATTAGTTTATACCAGAAGCAAATTCAAGTTTACAATCTACATTTAGAGGGAAGAAAGGAGGGGAAAAAAGCAAAGCGGACTGCTTATATAACATCTTACAGTGCTTAAAACACTCTCTTAACAATCTAATTATGTAGGCTACACAGTGCCCCCACCTCCAGCAAGCTGGGCACTCAATTTACCAACCTCAAAAGGGTGGAAGGCTGAGTGAACCTCGAGATGGCCACCTGGGATTGAATCTAAATCATGAGCATAGTTTTGGCATCAGTACTGTTGTTTAACCACTGCACGAGGCTCCAATGAAAGCAGAACAAGAAATAGAAAGATTCTCTGTACATGACATAACATCCTATGGAAAATGTACCCCCAGACAGGAAGAACCTTACAGTTCTTTGCAGAAAACCAATGCAGCTCTGTTGTTAGGTACAGTACTTTCATATGTGTTTTCCAATCTGAAATCCCTGATGGGTGACCTGGTACAAATTACATTTTATCTCTGCTGTAAAATGGCAAGTGTATGAGCCATCCACAAAAAGGAAAGTCTTTTGTAACACTAGAATTCAGGGGCATTAAACAAAACTGATTGGCAACAGAATGAAGACAGGCAGAAGTCCTTTTTAGAAAATATCTATTTATTAAATCTGGTGTCACAAATTGAAGTGACAGCCATTTTCTTAGACAATTTTAAAAGATCAGATCAACAAAACATGACAGCTAGATGCAATCTCCACAGATACAGGCCCCAGCGCAGATGCTGGGAGCCAGCAAAAGGGGACAGCCATAACTTTCATTCTTTCAGTGCTCTTGCTTGGCTGAGTAATTTTAAGTGTTGTAGTCTCCAAGTAATAACATTTCCAATCTCTGACCCTTTCTGTTGAACAGAAATAAAACCCAGCAAGCACCTGCCTAGGACACCAAACAAACAAATATGAATTTAATGTTTTAAAAATAAATCTAGATAAGTTAACAAATACAAAACTGTCACCTAGATGGCTTCATTTTACAGCATGGCTATATGACAGTAAAGAGAGAGGTAGAAAGGAGTGAAAATTGTGTGTGTTGAACACCCACCTGTGTCTTTGTCCTTGGCTTTGTACACTTGACCATATGTCCCCTCACCGATAATACCAATGATGTCAAATTTGTCCACACAACGCTTTCCCCAGTCACTTTCTGTCTGTCTTCTCTCACCATAACGAGGACAACAGATTCTGGGAAGGAAGAATAAGGAGAGAAACACAAGAGCGGTAAAAATTGCAAATGATGACTTGACAAAAATATTCTGGTTCTTCATCTTCACTTACCCACTTTTAAGGTACATACATCTTCAACACTAACAATGTTTATGCATGTAAAGATTGCAAAACAGCTCTATTTCATCCAATTCAAAACATTTATCACATTTACAATCCTCCCATCCTTTGAGATCAAAGCAAATTATACACAATTCTTTGGCAATGTTTGATCTATTAAAGAGCTAGACAAAATATATGTGAAAGCATATGAAGCTGCCTTATATCAAGTTCCACCACTCATCCAGTAGTATTCCATAGCAGCTCTTCAAAGTCTCAGAAAGGTTTCTTTCCCAGCCAGGCTATCACAGAGATCCTTTACCTGGAGAGGCCAGAGATTGAATATGGTATATTACGCATTCAAAACATGGGCACTAGCAATGAGATCATTCTTTGGGCTGCAATAATAACTGCAAATACTTGTAGGGTACCTAAAATTCTCTATGTTCTAAACAGAGAAAACAAGACAGTCCTTGTCCATGGGTTCAATCCAAGTTACAATGTTTAATGTGTTTGAAAGTTTAAATGTGTGCTTGATTCAGATTTTTCAAATGAATGATGACCATTAAAGATGGTGAAAAGCTGGCTGGATAGTTCAGTGTTTTAAGTATTGGCTGCAGAGCCAGAGATTGGGAGTTGAATTCCCCACTGTGCCTCCTGTGAGTACAGCCAGCCTGTGTGGCCTTGGGGAATCTATATAGTCCCAGGGCATCCAGAGAAGAAGGGAATGGTAAACCACTTCTGAGTATTCTCTACCTGGAAAACCCTGAAAAAGGTTGCCAGAATTGACATGATGACACAGGATGATGATGATTATAGATAGTCAACTGATTACACACTTCATCTACCATGCACTGTTATCTGTGAAATGTGTTTTAGGAATGGCTCTCCCCTGGCCAGCATAAAAGTAAAGGTTAAAGGTTCCCCTTGACATTAGGTCCAGTCATGTCCAACTCTAGGGCGCGGTGCTCATCCCCATTTCCAAGCCGTAGAGCCAGCATTTGTGCATAGACAGTTTCCGTGGTCATGTGGTCAGCGTGACTAGACATGGAGCGCTGTTACCTTCCCACCATGGTGGTACCTATTTATCTACTCGCATTTTTACATGCTTTCAAACTGCTAGGTTAGCAGGAGCTGGGACAAGCGACGGGAGCTCACTCTGTCGCGTGGATTTGCTCTTACGACGGCTGGTCTTCCAACCTTGCAGCACACAAAGGCCTCTGCGGTTTAACCCACAGCAGCACCATGTCCCTTCTGGCCAGCATAGCCAGCAAGAAAGGCTTCTAAGAGTTGCAGTCCTAGAAAATCTGGGTTTCCCAAGGTTGGTAACTACTGGGTTAGTTAATGACAGAATGATGATGTTGTAACCAATTATTTGGTTCACTAATTTCTTTTAAAACATGGATAGACAATCTTCAGAGATTGAAGGGTAGGGACACATATATTCATTCCTAGAAATTCCTTAACAAAAAACAAAACAGAAAAGAAAAAGGGGAGTCAATCAAAACATACCAAAATTGCCAACCCACACCCTCTAGAGATCACAGCTGGCATTTTGAGGGAAAAAAATCCTTCAAACTTTCAACATTTCTATGGCATAGAAGGGTTGAATGTTGGGCTCCAAAAGGGCTACACTGCAACCACGGGCAACATCTTGTTTTAAAAGAATAAAAAAAGTGGCTTGTAAGTTATTTAGACATCCAAAACGTTTCTTCCTGGCAGGACTGTTACTTAACATGGGTGCATGGCTAAAGGGTCAGACTTTATTCTGCTCCCCTTCCAACATGGGTGAGTGGCTAAGGCTCCCCTTCCAGTCTCACCCAAATAGCTAGATGTATCCCAAAAAATTGTTGCTATGCAAAAAGGAGTACTCCATACTTACTTTGGTCTCTTTCTCAATGGTTGCTGAGGTGGTGTGGCTGCCTTTGGTTCTGGAGACTCTGGTGGAGAAGGGTCTCCACCGGGAAGCTCTGGAGGGAGTGGAAGGTCTGTAAGTAGGTGCCGGGGTCTCTGTTCCTTCTCCTTTTTTGAAGGTTTCGGGGGAACAATCTCTTTTGGACTAAAGCACCAGAGAAAACAGGAAGTGGGTATTATTTTGACAACAACTCTGTATATCTAAAAGGCCTTAAATACATTAATTACAATTACTAGTTTTGTTAGAATTTTGCAACAGTTGCTACAAATTTGACTTTTAACAAGCACTTGCTAGCATTCAGTTCATTTGAAATATGCCATATAAACACTCAATCCACTATCTATCATAGCTCTATAAAATATCCCAAGAAACTGAGCTTCTACAATAATAAAGCAAGGACTGAAAAAGCATTTTGCGATTTTAGAAAAAAGACAAATGAATAAATAATGGTTAGTTAAGGCTCATAAGGAGCTGCCCTGCAGTTCCTTATTTTTATACAGTATTTGTTACTTTTTTCCCCAGATAAGCCTTGCCCAACTTTGTATTGTCCAGAAGATATGGACTATAGTCCCAGTACTCCCAACCACTGGCCACAATGAACTGTAGTTAGGCTACCAAAATATATGGAAGTTACTAGCTTGGGGAAGGCTATCCAAGAGTATCTGAGTACCTGAGTTGACACAATGCAACTCAAGCTACTTGAAGAGCAAGAGACAGAAGAGTTTCCAGCATGCACCTACAAAAACAGCACCTTCTGCATTAATTACCCCAGTATATTAAAACCATATATGAGAATGCCTTTTCTCTCCTGACACTTCTGAAGTCCATTCTCCCTTCCATGCTGGATGTTCCAAACACGAATTGTGCCTGCTCCAATTACCAAGAGGTGTTGTGTATTAGCTCCATGTGAGAATCTTTACAGCTGATCGTTGGGTTCCTAAAACGGCTGCCCTGTGTTTTCCGGACCCACGCTTCGCAGGGCAGCCATTTTAACAGCTGATTGGTGCTCGGAAAATGGCTTCCCTATGGGCGATCTTTGCTGGACGCCCAGGTATTTTCCCCATTGGAACGCATTAAACCGAGTTTCAATGCAAAAGACAAATACAGTAGAGATGTATCTCATGATTACAATCAAACTAATTCCTATATTTGAAGTGAGAAAAGAATCCCCTTCATGGAAATGAGATAACATGGGGTTTAGAAGACATCTGTTTTATCTTGGCGAGTGCTACTTGACTTTTTCCTGAGCCAAGAGATCTAGAGGCATTTGCTCTGCACACACCATCAATGGCGCACTAGACTAATATGCAACAAGTAATGCAACCTGGATTTCAGAGGCTAATCTGGTAAACAGAAGGCCATTGCCTTCAAACAGTTGTAAAATCAAACCTTTCAGCTCCACAGCTCTAAATATGGGAGATACACACATACATGTCTCATGTTCCCACCCCTTCCCTTTGTCAACCTATTGTCCCCTTTCTTTTCTGAGGAAATAGCTCTCCTTTTCTGGTTTCTCCAAAAATAAAAATATTACAGCATTATCATCACCACCATCATTATTATTTTAGTGGTACCTCGCTAGATGATGACCCCGCTGTACGACGAAACCGCATGACGATGACTTTTTGTGATTCGCAGAACAGTCATTCCTATGGGGGAATTCCACTTGACGACGATTTGGTCCGTGCTTCACAGACCGTTTATTCGCAATACGAGAATCTTTACAGCTGATCGTTGGGTTCCTAAAATGCCTGCCCTTTGTTTTCCAGACCCATGCTTCGCAGGGCAGTCATTTTAACAGCTGATCAGAAAATGGCTTCCCTATGGGGCGATCTTTGCTGGGCGACCAGGTATTTTCCCCATTGGAACGCATTAAACCGAGTTTCAAAGCATTCCAATGGGGAAAGGCTTTTCGCATGATGACCATTTTGCTTAGCAGCGATTTTCCCAGAATGGATTATCGTTGTCATGTGGGGCACCACTGTACTAAGTATGCATCCTGCTACACTCATATCAAAAACATCAAATTATTCCAGTTTGGTTTGACTTCACCTTATTTTCTTTGCTAAGAATTATACCGGGATTTATAGGCATAGAATCTGGCCATTGATGCAGCATTCCCTCTCTGTCAGTATCTACTATGACCTCTAGCTTTCTCAGAGAGAACAAACAAAATAACAGATGTTCTGCAAGTCATCTCTCATATCCGCTTATGACATCACAGTTCCTGCACTTCAGAGCCTCTGAGCTAAAAGGAAAGCCAAATTCTATATTCATGGCTAATTCAGTGGCTATGCCAGGTTCAACTGTATTTATATGAACACAAATGTTCCTCACAACACTACAAAACTTCTACAAGGGTTGAAGCTGATATAGTAAATTAAAAATAGAAAACTTAAAGTTTATGCTAGTATGCATCTTGAGAACTGAAGTGATGGGAAAACTGTGGCCTGATTCAAACAACTGGGCCTGAACCACAATAAGCCTTGCTATCATATGCTCTTCTTCCCCTCTGCTTGAATTAAAGGAGAAAGGTTTTGCTTACACTTTTGATGAACCTGATTTCCTTGGTGCCTTAGTTTAGATGCAACATAAACCAAAGTAAACAACCCTGCTTCCTCTCCCAGTTTGAGCATGTTATGATGGAAAAAACATAAGCAACTGCTTTAGCTTCTAGCTAACTAAGATTTGTTGCTCTGTCTTAAGTGCTGTTAAACTTTGTCTCAACAAGTCCGAACCAGAAATCATGGTTTCAACTAATATTCCTTGTTCTCTTTCAGATTAACCAATTAACTGCAGCTGATTGTCAAAAGTAGATACTTCTTATCTCCTCCTTACATTTTTACCAGTGGGAGAATGCACAGAATGCGGACTAATGTTTGTCCATGTAATACTGAACTATGGTTTAATTTTATGTCCAGATGTGGCCCTTATAAACGTCAGGAAATGCAGCTTCTTCTAGTTTTCGCTAGTTCTATATTGTCAAAATAACTCATAATCAAATGATGATTTGTTAAATAGAGTAACAGTGTTCCCAAGAGGAGGAAAAGCTCAAGAAAGCTTTTAGATGGTTTAAGCAAATAGGCTTTAAATAATAATTTTAAAAATTTAAAATCTCCCAAGAATCCAAAATCTAACTAGGAAAAAAATTATCTCAGGCCCTATCAAATGCTACAGGCTAGTGTAAAGAGAACATTCAGCACAGTTCCACAAAGCCGGCACATGTAATCATATTTTCAGTTATCGAAATTTCTACTGCTGCACAAATTAGGCAGCATAACCAGGGAGACAAAGTCAAAACTCCTCACAGTTTACTTATATTTGCTGGTGGGAAGTACTGTGGGAAACACAGGACACACAAAAAGCAGAACTGCCTTACATCATTCAAAACAGTTATTCACATTATCCATAGCCAGTACTATCTTGACCAAAAATAGCTGCCCAGAGTTTTAGCATAAGCCTTTCTCCACCTCTGCTATTCAAGCTCTTCTCATAAGGGAAATACATCCTCCATCATCTCCCAGCCCTGTACACTCCGCTAAACTGTAAGACAGAGCATGTAAGATAGCAGCCTGTCTACATGCTCAATATATTTTACATCTTTTTAACCACATATTCCAAAGCTGTCTTTTGCATTTTAGAAACCATGATGTTATGATTTACATTTTGGTCTTTTCATCAGTGCTAGTTTACAGAATGTCAAACTGCAAGTCAGATATCTGAATCTGTAAAATAAGTTGACATCTGAGTTCACAACCATTCTGATTCATAGATTTATCAACCATATGTAGAAACGAGATGTATGTCATCTCCTTACCTATCCAAGTCATCTTCCCCTGGTAGGATGGGTGGGAAAGGGAGTGGAGGCAATGTTGATGTTTTCATATGTGGAACAGCAACTGTCACAGAAACGTGTGCCTTGAAGGAGGACTGCGCGGTGGACTGAGAGTTAGCCTGAGTCGTCAGAGATGTCTTGGAGTGGGTAGAGGTTGGCAGACACAATGGGACCAAAACAGGAGGATGAACAGTGGCTGACTGGGTAGTTGGCAGAGGAGGAACAACTGGTGATGGAGGCAAAGGGGGCAATGGAGGTGGAGCCTGAGGAGGAGGCGATGATGTTGGCAGAGGAGGTAGAAGCTTAACAGAAGGCAAGGGAGGTGGGACTTCTTGTTCAGCTGTCTCCATCTCCTTTGGAGTCACAACTTCCTCCTTTGCTACAAGTTTTACATCTTTTGTTCCCACTGCTTTTGAGTCTTTTACTGAAGCTGACAATTTCTTCTCAGAGTTTTCTACCACCTTTGTTTTTACAGGCTCAGGAATTGCTTTTGTCTCTACATTGTGGTGTAAGACGTTTGTTATTTCAGCATCAGAAGGACACTTCTCAGGCTTAGCTGTTTTTGCCTTCTTGGCCCCTACCACTGACTCTTTAACTTCAGCCAGACTGTTTTCTTTCCTTGACAAAAAATTAGGTGAGTTCTTGGTCTCCTTCCCATCAACTTTTGCTGCCGCCGCCGCCGCTGCCGCTGCCGCTGCCGCCCTTTCCTTTTTCTTCCTACTCAGCTCAGCTCCCAGGCTGGAGTTCAAAGGCAGCCGTGCAGGTGAGATACTGGAATGGCGGCTCCGGGACCCAGATCTTTGCTTTTTGTTATGAGATGATGAGTGTCTTGAATAAGCAGGACTTCGACTTCGGGACTTCACAGGCTTCCTGGGGAAACAAAATAAAATAATCAGAATTCTCAAAGATTTTGACTGCTGTTCTTCAGGTAATCAAACAAGCCTCTAGTTTTCAGCACTGTAGGAGCATGTTTGGCAATGTGCAGACACTGGTCATAATACAAGAGCTTCAAATCCAAGACCAGTGCACCATTTATTTCTATGAGTGGGCAAATTCTATATGCATACCTGGACCCCTTCCTCAGTTGCCACTCATGCACAATGGATTTCATCCATGATTTCTGTAATGTACAGTGGTGCCTCGCTTGACGAGAATAATTCATTCCATTCAAATCGCTGTTAAGCGAAATCCTCATCAAGCAAAATGAAAAAGCCCACTGAAATGCATTGAAAACCAGTTCAATGCATTCCAATGGGCGAAATACCTCAATGTCCAGCGAAGATCCTCCATAGGGCGGCCATTTTCCAGTGCCTGTAATGCGAGGAATCCGTCCTAAAGCACAGCGGGCGGCCATTCTGAAACCCGACAATCAGCTGTTTTGATTGTTGTTAAGCGAAAAATCGGTTCCCGAAGCAGGGAACCGATCATCGTCAAACGGAAAAACCCCATTGAAACATCGTTTTGCGATCGCAATAGCGATCGCAATAAACCCATCGTAAAGCAGATTTGTTGTTAAACTGGGTAATTGTCAAGCGGGGTACCACTGTACTTAAAATTTCATGTCTCATCTGCCAAAACAAAGATAGCAACTTTTTCAGTGAAGGGGGTGTTCATTCTCTCTGGCCAAACTATTTGCAGGATGGAAAATCAAAGAATGATGTCCCTGTTAGTTAACATATGTACAAACTCACATAAACACAATGTAGCTTGGATGGGGTGGAAGTCCACGTTCTTGAGATAATAGAACCACTTTAGCACTGAAGGGGAGCTATGCGCCAAAGCCTTTCTGATAAGTCCAAAATCTTTGCTATTGCACACAAAAAGAAGTGCCAGTCCAGATAGCTTGGGGCTGAACAGCAAAGCTGCCTTTGCACAGGTGTCCTCTTTGTGATTTGCTAGTGCCTGTACAAGATGCCTCTTCATTCCCCATGTCATCACAAACACAGACTACTGTGTCCCTTCCTTCAGCATTAAGAATTTGTAAGAGGGAGTGGCAAGCTCAGACATGGTAAACTGTCCTCAGACATGATTGCTTACATTTTCTGGCATAATGACAATGCCTGGCATAGGCTGCCTCTGAGGTGAAAGAATGTGGAGTCCAGAAGTGATTTGTATTTTTCACAATTAGAAAAATGTCAGAATATTTAAATAATTTACTTTCAATGCTCATAATCGGTATTAATAATGCCAGTTTCATTTTTCATATCTGTATCAATCTTCACTGTGTCCTCACCCTCTCTATATATATTTGGATAAAATTTAATTGCCTGCCATCAAATGAATTCTCATTTACAGCAACCCTTTCCAGAATTTTCTAGGTATAGAATACCCAGAAGTGGTCTACCATTTCCTTCTTCTGAGGGCACACTGGAATTGTGCAGCTTGCCCAAGGTTATAGAGGCTGGCTCTTCTCCTGGGAAGCACAATGGCGAACTGAACTCCCAACCTCTGGCTCCACAGCCAAAGACCTACCTCACTAAACCATATGAACTAACAGGGTGTAGGAAAGACAGTGTTAGACGAGGACCCCATAGACCAGGGTTCTAATCTCTACCCAGCCTTGGAAACTTACTTGGGGGAGGGATAGCAATGGAAAACCACTCCCTGAACATCACATTTACCTCAGAAACTCTATTAGCAAATGGTACTGCTTATATATTGTCCCATAGTGCTTAAAGCACTCTCTGGACAGCGTACAATTTAATTATGTAAGCTGCACATTGCCCCCACAGCAAGCTGAGTGCCCAAATTACTGACCTTGGAAGGATGGAAGGCTGAGTGAACCTCAAGCTGGCTACCTGGGACTGAACTGGGCCATGAACAGTTTTGGCAGCAGTACTACAGTTTAACCACTTCACCAGAATAACTCAGAGGCAACTTGACAACATTTAACAACAATGAATAAGTAACTCCATATATCTGAGGAAGTGGACTGTAAGCTAAGAAAGCTCGCACTTAAATAAATATGTTAGTCTTAAAGGTGCCACTATGCTTTTGTTTCTATTATGTTAAACATTCTGAAACAACAAAGCTACTTCTTTGAAAGCTGATACTTCTTACTAGCAACAAACAGCAATGAGAAATGACAGCGTTGATTGTCCTATTTTCCAATTTCAACTGAAGTTTTTTCCCCCTCCAACACCAGATAATACAGAGCATTCTTGGAAGCCTATTAAAATCTCCAGGATAATTTTAAATAGTTTTTTAGGGATGCTGATTCCTTTCGAATGGCAAGTCTACCCCTATCTCTGCAACTCTGTGTAGACAAAACGAAGTTCTTAGCCATCACTCTAAAAATGACTTTCTGAAGATTATTCATTTTCCAGTGTCTCCACAAACATCTGTTTTTTGGTAAATGACCTAATCATTCTTTTTCTGATATAACAGGAAACTTGAACATTTTTCAAAATACTGAATGTTTTCCATACTAGATTACTGGCCGGAATCTTGCTGATGCAGATCTATGACTGGTACTGTCCTCAGCTACGACCTTTTATCATTAATGTCTTCCTCCATTCCTAAGGACTCCAAATCAAAAGACATTCTTAGGGAGCCTCAGAACTTGGCAGGAGTGGTAGTGGATAAGAAATATTTAATTAAAGATAAAAGGCTCATGACATCAACCTTTTGCATGGGTAGTTACTCACGATTCCAGCAAATGTCTTTTTAAAAGTATAACATGGGCCCTCTTTCTAGTTGGGAAAAGTTATTGCTGTTTATTGCAGTTACTGCAAGAGCTCATGGGGCAGGGAGATCACAAGATTAAATCAAGTTTCAACTGTAATTTAAATTATGGACTAAACTAACGATGGTGAACCTATGGCACACATGCCACAGCTGGCACGCAGAGCCCTTTCTGCTGGCATGCGAGCTATAAGTCGCCGGATCACTACTCCCCCCCACCTGCAGCCAAACCTGAGCAGGCGGCTGTAACAGCAGTGCTAGTGCCTGGACAGGTGGTGGATCAGGATCCGGAGCAGCTGGTGCTGTTGGCGGATCCAGAGTGGGGTCTTGAGGCACCTCCGTGCCTGGGATTCCCCCTTCTGCCACCACTTCCAGTGGCACGCAAGCCCAAAAAGGTTCGCCACCACTGGTCTAAACTGTGATTTAAACCAAAATATAGATTTGATGTAACATATGGAGATGAAAAATAACAGATGTGATCAGCCCTATTTTCAATTCTAAGGGAAATTATTCCAAGCTCAGAAGATCCCCATCCCAACATGATTTCAAATCGAAATTTAAATCAAACTCACCATAACATTGAACATGGTAGAACTTTTATTTTGTTATCCCACTACTTGCAGGTCATTGGATAGTTTGGGAATACTGTTTACTATGATTACTGAAAGACAATGTGGCTACAGAGAGTCACAAACACTTATAGAAAAGAAGTTTCTACCGGCAGCTTCAACAAAAGTGCAAGATAAAATGCAGTACTGCACATGACAGGTACTGGAACTGAAAGTTTACGATATGACTGGAGAAATAGCAAAAAGTTATAGACTACAGCAAACACAGAATATAGCATACCACTAAGACACTGGAGACCATCATAATAGTTGAACTGGTTTGGGTATATTTCATACTGATTAATATACAGCACTCACCTACAGGCCAGTTACTCCAGCTTTACCCTGTGTGAAAGTTAGGCAGTCATAAATAACTAAAAGTACACCAGCACTCAGACAGTTCTAACAATTCTAAATGTCCTGGCATAATATTTACAGCTGTTATTCTGAAAACAGAAAAACAAAGCACAAAATTAAACCTCCCTTAAGAGCAAAAGGAATCTACCCCCTTGAAGAGGTTCAATGCAGCACACCAGCCCTTTGAGCTGATGACACATATTTGTCCTACACATTCAGTCCTTAAGGTTTTTAAATGATAGACCCAAGGATCCTCTAAGATTTTGGCTAAAATCTAATTGATGCAACTCTGCTGCATAGATAATGACATTATCACCTGGGACGTTAATTTTTATTAACCATCTGACAGTGATTTTTTTTATATATTAAAGGTTCCATTTCTGTCCTGAGGTTCCAAAAAACTTCACAGGGCAAAAGGAATCCTTTGTAAGCCTTGAAGCCTAAAGGGAGAGATAGGAAGCTTAAATTAAATTGAATTAAAGATTAATATTGCTGAGTGATGACATCAGCATTTATACCTGGCAGAACTGTGCAACAGGATTTCAGCCATTATGTGAAAACAGGCACTAGCCAAACTGTCCATCGTATGAGTCACCTTTTGCCACCTAGGTACTGGACTTTGAAACATAAAAGAATTGGGTTTTATTTGTTTTAGGCTAGGTCAGAACATGGGGGCTCTCCAAATGTTTTGGACTGTAACCCCCATAATTCCTCATTATCTGTTATGTTGGCTATGGGAACTGGAGGGAAAAAAATCTTGAAGGCCACTGTTACTTACCCTGTTTCATATGACTGGCAGTAACACAGTTAAGTCCAACAAAATCCTGGATGTTGCATTTAATTTTGACCAAAGTAACTTGCCTCTCTACATCATTTCCCCTACACACTTATAAAATACAGATTAGGAATTATTGAGATTTTCAAAAGATGTGTTGAAAACTATTGAAATGTGTAAGATTTCATATACGTAGCTCAGTGGGCTGGAGTGGAGGGAAAGGAGTTTGAATCCTCACTGTGCCTCTCTCATAAACTGGGCCAGCTAAGATCACCTGGAATACACGTGGCTGTTGGCTTTATGTATTCCGCTATTTTTGCAGCCTCAAGCAAACGTACAGAAATAAAGCATCAACAGAAGGGTGGTCTAGTAAACCACTTACAAGTACTTTATATCTTAAAAACACTATGAGTGCTTTTAGCCATAGGTTAGAACCAACTTGATGGCACATAAATGTCATAAGATCTTATCTATACCAATGGTCTTCTTCAAAACAGTATGGTACACCAGATTCCAAGAATTCTACAAGCAGCACAACTGCTAACTAGGTAAACTGGTTGAAAAACAGTTTATGCATCACACCCTGTAACTAACTAACTAACTAACAAACACGCAAATATACTGTATGTTGCAATGTGTTTTTAGTACAATAAGCATCACTTGCAATTCCTGAAATTCAAGAACGTACCTTAAAATATTGTTCAGAACCTTCAGCAATGTGCCAATGCTCTGAAATTAATGGACCAGTCTGGAAAATGATCCTTAAGGTACAGGATCTGAATTACCTTGATCAATCCCATTCTTTAATTGCCATGAAGCAGCCATTATGACAATCTCTGCCAATTTAGGAATCTGACACTAGCAGCTGGGGGACTGGATATTTTTTCAGCCCTGTACAAAGCAATCCTCACAACTGATAGTGGATCCAGAAATATGGAAGTACTGTAGTTATTTAGCAAAGTTGTAGTTATTTAGCAAGGCTTTTTATGTTAATCTCCTCCAGTTGAGGAGAAAGACCACATTCTTTTAACAGAGAAGCAATACCTCCCTACTTCAAAATGCAAACAATTACAGCAAGTTATGAGTTCCTTAGGTAGACAATAAAAGAGAATGGGGGTGGGGGAGAGAATTCAACAAATATAGCCAGATTCTTGAAAGCTAGGAAGGTGAACAACAGTGTGAAAAATGAAGACTAAAGAGATAGCTTTACATATTTAAATATAGGGTTCCTTGTTAGTTTATTTCCTCTCCAAGCCCACTACACACAGTACACCATGATGCCTCAAGCAAGCAGCCTCCTTACAGCAGCTTCCTGAAACTACTAAAGGTAAACCAAGATATGTATTATCGAAGGCTTTCATGGCCGGGATCTGATGGTTGTTTACAATCTGCTCATATGAACCATTTGCTCTATGCCAAAAAAGAAAACCAAAAAGAAAATTCCAACAGGAGGTGCTTTTTCAAGCACTGAGAATGACAGCTTAATCCATCCTGCATTTGATGTACTCTGTTTAAAAGTGATTTTCCCATACTGATGAACAAATGTGTCTGACCCCCAAAGACAGGAAATATTGGGTTCAAATTCAGGTCTGATACCAGCACATGTTTCTTGGTCAGAAAAGCAGTTAGATAACATACATAAACCACCCCATGAAACTGTCAGTTCCTTTCCTGTCAATCATGGTGAAATTTTTGTCCTGGTATAGATAATAGCAACTATTTTTAAAGAGTTTTCTTCACATAAAATGCTTTATATTATTTAATGCATCTCCTCACAGACAGTATCAGTCCCATGGTGAAGGAAGAAATTTTGTCTGAGAGGCAGAAACCTATCCAAGGGCATCTACAAAGTTTATGACTAGGCAGATGTGAGCCCCATAAATATTGAAAATAATGGGACAACATGACAACTCTACACTTGTTTAGTGCTAGCAGGGTGCTAGACATGCAAGAACACAAAGGAGCATATATTCAGATGGCAATTATGGACATTTGAAGTATTAGCAATAGCTATAAGAAAATAACTATGGATAATACTTTCCTCAGAAGGTTTAAATTCTCAGAAGTAAAATATGGCAACCAACTTTAGCAGTTTTACACATTCAGGTTATAAAGCAATGACAACAACTTTCAAACTTTTAATGAAAAGCACAGGCATCCTAAGTTAAGTGAAAAAGACAAGGATGGAAGGTATTGACTGGTTTCAATAAAGGAGTAACAAGGACGTTGGAAAGAGACTGAATCTTTGTTGCTGTTATGTGCCATCAAGTCACTTCTGACTTACGGCAAACCGATGAATGAGTAATCTTCAAAATGTCCTGTCCTCAACACCCCTGCTCAGCTCCTTTCAATGTTCTGTTCCAATGGCCAAAATCCTGTTGTTTAGCATAGTAAATCACACTAGAGGAAAGAATCAATGGAGATGTGATAAGTCAACTCCTCCATTAAGTCATAATTAATCAAATAGGCCTAGTCTAACTATCACTTACTTTAACATAGTAAGTTGCAGTTAGAACAAGGCCATTTGAATCACACACACATATAAGTTTATACACATATAAGCCCATTTGAATCAATGAAACTTATGGAGGAATTGATTCATCAATTCCCCAGTGATTCAATGGGCCTACAATAGTGAAATTTGCTAAGCAAAAGGATTTTTTGCCAAAGTCTGATTGTCAAAGCACCCAGTGCCAACCAAGCCAATTTAAACAGATGTTAAAATCTTCCTTTGTGGTGTTCATAAACATCAGGAATGGTAGTCAGACTGGATTTGCAAATATTAATACCCATTGCCATATTAAAATACCACTAAGAAATAGTATGTACACTACATGAGATAGCATGTTACAATAGAGAAACCATGGTTCTACAACAAATAGACATACCATTTTTATGTTCCCAAAGCTATTCCACAGTTAGAAAAGCTAGGATCAAGGCAAACTTGCATGGGACTAGTTTCTGCTCAAACCAGTGAGACTCCCTGCCTAATAGGACAGAGGCAGGTGCCATGAGTATCACTGAAATTTGAGACTTCAGCACTAAACATGTATCTAATTTCTACTTATGTGCTCAATGTGTTAAACATCAAGACAGAGCAATTTTCTCCAAATTCTAATATTGGTGTATTATTTACAATTTCATTTAGTTTTAATAAAAAGATGTCTAACAATTTTATTGCCTTTTCAACATGGAAGCTCTTTCCCCAGACAAACTCTTCTCCATGGTCTCCTATGAATCTTGTTGGATGCGGTTGGTGGAAATAGGGATTGATCTTTCCTAGCCTTAGAAATAGCCTTAAAGCAACACTGCCCTGAATGTCAAGCTTTGCATGCACTGGACACAGAGAAACTGATGCATAATTAACTTGTAAACCACTCAGAGAGTGCTTGAAGCACTATGGGGCGGTATATAAGCAGCACACTTTGCTTTGCTTTTTCTGTACATTTTCTACAGCTGCTTGCTTTTAGAACTCACAAGGAACAATGTGAGTGCCAAAGACCGTTCTGTTTAGCCAGCATTTTAATTAAATAGTACAGTATTCTTTAGCTGGCCATATGAGCAGCAGGATTTATTAATATTAATGTTTTATGACTGTTTTTAATATAGGGTATTATTATAATATTGCCTACTTTTAATGGTTTTAATGTTTTTTAAAGTTTTAATATTGTTGTACACCGCTCAGAGACCACTGGTAATTGCACGGCTAAAAAAATCTTGTAAATAAGTAAATGTTGGTACAAGGGATTGTATAGAACATTCAGTCTCAATCATTGGTCAGTCATGGGGCACATACCAAAGTTATGCTAAACCAAAGTTTAGTGTGACAAGAATGATGCTAAGGCCTGCATCTTCCCCACCTGACAGTGGGGCAAAGAACTATTAAGATTTCCTTTCAATTTCCATTAATCACTGTTCAGTGTACTGTGCAAATAAACTGTTTAACATTATCTATTTAAGCAAGTCAGTTAGTTATATTTAGACAACATACTAAGAAGCCAAAGGTTCTGAACTCCTCCTTGCATCTATGATGGATGACAAGTGAATCTATACTATACATTTACTGTAAGCAGTTTTTGCTAAGCTAAATTAAAGTTCAGAGTGATATCTGAACTAGCTATCTTGCTGGCTAACTGGACTTGGTTATTTTAAAGATATGAGTCCCCCAAAACAGCAAAATATGAATAATTACTTCAGCATCAGCTGTATGAAAAGAGAAGCAAATAAGTTTTATATTGAAAATGAACTCTGCTACTAAAAGTATGGTACTTAGAATGATGACAGAGATCAGTGCCTTCAGTGACATTTAAGTTAAAAAAGTGTCAGATATTTCTGATTAACTACACAAATTATCTATTCACATACCTGGATACAGGACTCCGGCTCAATGACCGTTTAGGAATAAAAGGACTGCTGGACCGCCTTCTGCTGGGTGGGCTGGGGGACCTTCCACTGTATGATCCACTTCCTCTCTCATAACTGGACGACCGTCTCCAGCTATATGGGCTGACTGACCGCTGTCTCCTACCGTAAGGACTGGGAGAGCGCATGCTGGATTGGTACGCAGCTGGTTCTTTGTATGGCGGGCTGTCTGATGGCCTTCGCGAGGACCCACCAGGACTTTTCTTGTAGGAATCATAATTGCTAGATGTGTGAGAGCGTGGAGGGCTGATGTCATAGTCCTGTGTGTAGGATGCTCCTGAAGGGCTGTCATCCTGCTTGGGGCTGACAGACCATTTCCGGTGAGGGCTCCTGGATTTTCGTTTTGGACTGTCCACTGATTTGTAGCTTTTGGGAGCATCTCTTTTCCGGTGACTTTTGCTGCGGTCCTTGTGTCCAGATTTTGCTTCCCGCTCTTTCCTGGACTTCTCCTTGTGCACTTTGGTTGACCGAGACTCCTTGCTGCTGCTTTTGAATGACTTTGATGAGTGGTCATCAGTCTCCTCATGCAGTCTTTTTGAGGACCCTGACACCCTGTCCTTAGCGGAACTCAACTTGCCTGAAGATTCTTGGTTCCTTTCCAGCCTTTTCTCCTTGTCTGCCACTTTACTTTTCATCAGCTCACGAATGCGCTTGTGCTGGTGATGACGATGCCTATGTAGTCGGTCGCTCCTCTCCGACATCCCTTTCCTCTCCTCATTCTCCCTGCGTTCTGGTTTGAGGACTGCTTCATCAGAGAAGGTGTCCGAGTCAGAGCTAATATCATCATACTCCACCAATGGTTTGATCATGCTGCCAAGCGATGCTCCTGCTTCTTGGGCCCCCAGCAGTGATTCTTTGGAATGCCTGGATTTGTGCCTTTTATGTTTGGAGAGTCGATGCCTCTCCTTACTATTTGAACTACTACTACTAGATGCTGTCTCTTGACACAAAGACCCCCCACCTCCTGCATCCTTCTTGCCCCCATGTCTCTCTGGGTTTGGCATTCCTTCTCCACTGTGCTTGAAAAGAGGGGGGAATTTTCCCAAACCCCAAAACCCTAGCAGTCAAAACACCCCCTCCCACAGCGGAAGGGGCTGTTTTCTCTTTCGATGAGTTTCTCCTACATTCAATCTATTTTTCTCTTTCCTTTGAGTCAGAAGTGTCTGGGTCTACAAAGCTGGCTAGAATAGCACTCAAAAAGTTGACCAAGCTGGAGATTAAAAAAAAAATCTAAACAGGGCTCCTCAAAGCCTTTTAAATAGGACACATACAACTCTGATCAGACAGTCTTCTGCCCCAAGTCTTAAAGGTAATATGAAAAGGGTGGGTTAAGGGCCTACTCCTCCCTTAACTCCAAATTTCAATTAATCCCTAGTTCCTGAAATTAATAACCCTAAGGGGCCAAATGAAGAGTCTATTATAATTTCAGACCCTACTGATAAACAGGCAAGTTGATGCAACTCTCCAAGCCCAAACAAAAAACAAAACACGAGCCAAAAAGTTCTGGAAAGTGACCCCACTCCCTTCCACTTCTGATGTATGGGTTCCCTCAAAGCAGGAGGGGCCCCAAGTACTTAAGCAATGGTTTCCCGTGAGTCAGAGCTGCCTCTCCCCCTAACTCAATGCCTTGGGTTCCCACAGAAAGGAAAGCGGCAGCCGGATTGACGGAGTACCCCAACTCTCTTTTAAGTTCCTAAGGAAGCGGGGGAGCGGAATACACCTCCACCCGCCCCAAGGCCTGGGTCTTTCCGAATACGCCGGGAGGCCCCTGGTTAAAGCGAATTGGTTCTTTCTGAAGAACCCCCTCCCTCTTCCCTCGGCCCGGGACACTAGCAGGGCCGCCAGACCGGGATCCCCATCCTTCACCTCTTACTTCCCTGAGCGAAACGGCGCCGCTTCCAGGTTGGGGGGAGGGGCGGGGGGAAAGGAAGGTAAGGAAAGTGAGGGGAAGAAGGTTAGCCACCAACTCTCGCGAGAACACGAAAAAATCGTCGCCGTCGTCCCGCTGGCCGCGGATGCCGTCGCTTCGTTTGCTACCGCTTGAGGAGGAGGAGGAGGAAGGGGTTGCTTCCCCCAACTCCTCTATACCTGCTCCTGTTTCTCCAAATACCGCGAGAATACACACATGCACGTGCGTACGCGCGCTCTAGCTCGCGCAGGCGCTCACATATAAACGTCTTCCTGCGACGGTGACAGACAGCGAATGAAGGGGTTTCTTTTTCCTCTCTTGCTGGTTCTTTTACCACATGAGCCTGGCGGCCGTAATCTCGCGAGAAGGGGATTTCTGTTTGAACCAAACTATTTGACGGTGGGAATAGAGATCCGCTGTTTTTCAGTGAAAGCCACGGAACCTCAAAGATATTTTTACAAACACGAGCAGAGAGTTTGGCATACGTACTTTCCTGATGAAATTCCATTGAATCTTAACCGAAAGCAACTTTTTTTGGGTCCTTCAGAAAAACTTTATTATTCATTCCCCCCTTGGTAACACGAACCAACATTTTAGAAGAGGGAGCTGTGTTAGTTTGTGCAAGCATATCAGATCTTTTGTCCTTTAATTATTTTCCTTTGGGTTTTGCTTGATAATGTTTGTGGTATTTTATATTTTGGTAGTGGCTTAAGAATCCTTTACTAATATTTAATCCGCTGAGATGAGTATCAAACATCTTTTATTTCAGCTGTTTCCCTCTAGATCATTGTTCTATAATGTTTTGTCACAAGGATGGCAACTTTCAAATCCCGTGAAGAGTATCCAGATTTAAATTATTTAAATCTATTTTCTGTGCATTGCCATTTCTGATATCCATTTTGTGTCAACTATGTTGTGCAGAGATTGTCCCATTCTATTAACTATCCGCTCTTATGTTCCATAGCCCAGGTTCCTTCCCAACTATCCGCTGCCACTTGTACGGAACAAGCTTCGATGGTAATGTTGGGGATTCTTAACTAATTACTATATCTGCAATACCACAAGGATTATGTTGTTTCTGCTGTTATCTACAGTCTACTTTTCCTTTACCCACCAACCGTTATCACTTTTTAGTTTCAAAGGAAAAATAACTGAATATCTAATCGGGGTCTTAAATCATTACTAGGTGTGAAATGGAACATCGACTCAAACAATTTGCAACTTGTCTCTTTATTTCGGAGCCATATATGTTTGCTATGTAATCTCTCATATCTCAGGAAGTGGACTTCATCCACGAAAGCTTGCATTAAAATACAGCAGTTAGATTTTGAGGCGCCAACGTCTCGTGTTTTTTCTCCTTTCTCATCTTTCAGCCATTGAATACTTAAAAACGCACTGGAACCATGCATGGGGAGAAACAGCTGCCTCTTCTATTTTTGCCACAAAACTTTACTGAAAACATCCCAGCGCACGTCAACAGAAGAGCGCTTATTCGCGTCGAGGGCTGAGCAGTCGACCTTTAAAAGGGGTGTGTGGGGGGGAAACAATGCGAAACCTCGCGAGAGTTCGCGGTGTTTTCGACGTTGGATTGGCTACCCTTCTCCGGCACTGAGATTTCTTCTCGTACGTTTCCTTTCCGCCTTGACATTTCCCCTACTCCAAATCTCGCGAGAAAGGCAGCAAAGTCTCGCGCCGTTAGAAGCGCGATGGCGGTTCCTGCGGAGTGGGCGCTCTGGCTTTTGGGCGCTGCTTTTGCCTGAGTCTCGTCGAAACCGGAGAGGGCCCCTCTGGTCGAGGCGGTTGTACTTCCCCCCCGCCCCATGAGAGGAAGTGGAGCGGGGCGCCTGGCCCCTCTTCCGCCTTCCCACCCACCTGAGGGATGAAGGCAGCCCAGGGGCCCGCCGAAGGTGAGTTGCTGAGGGTTGGGAAGAGCTCCCGCAAGCGCTTCGGGAGCTTCCTCAGAACTTTGGCCTTCGTGTGAGGGATCCTCTGGAAAGCCCCGGAGGCTGGGGTCGTCAGGATTGGGCCACGGTTTGCGAGGAAGTCATGCTCGGTCTTGTGGTTCATTTTTCTCTCCGTAATATGTGGGGGAGTCTGTCGAATAAAAAAACTGGAGGAAAGGTGCCCCCTCGTTTAGAGGCCGCTGGCAAAGGGGGGCGGCTGGGTTACCATTGGTAACTCCCAGGGGTTATTGCTAGAGGTCATGGATCTGAAAGGAAGGCGGGGGGGGGGCGCGCAGAGATGAGTAACTTCGTATTCCCGTCGTGCATTTTATGGCGGAAGTGAAGACCTGATATTAAAGGGTCCTCCCTCCCGCGTGAGGCTCTAATGTATGCTGGGTTATCTAACATCTGCGGGAAGTAGGATGGGATCAACACCTACTTAATTTGAGATTGTGTGCCCCTTGTTTCTTTCGTTATATTTGAGGTGCAATACCTGGTCAGGACAGGTTTTAAGGATTTACAGTGCTGTTTGGCCAACATCCAACATTTATAATTTAGCAATGTTATTTTCTCCCTCCCCCACTAGTTGTAGACAAGGAACTTAATCAGGGTGGATGGTGAGCAGAGAGGACGGGGAAAGTTGCATGATCAAAAATGAATAATCTTAGGGTATGTTTCTGTTTCTGAGCAGTCCTAGATATAGCCTGAAATCTATTTATTTTATTTATATCCCGCCTATCTGGTCTTATGACCACTCTAGGCAGCTTCCAAATACATAAAAAAACATATAAATACAACAAAAAAGAAATTATTACATCAAATAACAAGTTCATCAAGATGGAAAAGGAAAAACAAAGTAAACAAAGAAGAGAAGATCAAATATTAACTGGAGGGAAGGCCTGCATAAACATCCAGGTTTTAAAATGATTTTTAAAGATACACATCAAAGGGGCCGCACAAATCTCTGGAGGAAGGTTGTTCCAGAGGCAAGGAGCTACTGCTGAGAAGGCCCGGTTTCTTGTTTTTTCCTTCCAGACCTCCCTCGGGGTCAAGCTTCTCATCCTCACCTCCTGACTCGCTCGGGTGATATGGGTAGATCTTGGTGGGAGATCTAATCACCTAATAGGGCTTAATTGTTTTTTTTAAATAAATAAATCTGTCTGTGTTAATAATAATTGAATACTGTACCATCAAGTCAATTCTGATTTATGGCAATATGTAGAGTACTCAGGTGTAGTTTCTTATTTCCTTCTTTGGGGGATGTTATGGAACTGCAGTTTGCTCAAGGCTACTACAAGCTGGGAGGCATTGAACTCCCAAACTCTGGCTGCTCGGCCAAGTACCCAATTCACAGAGCTATCCAGCCAGCTTTTCATACATTAAAGAGAGCTAATTTTTAAGTAACTATTGTTATGTTATATCACGTTACTCCTAACTTTCATTGAAACTACAGTGGTGCCTCGTTTAACGGCGATAATCCGTTCCAGGAAAATCGCTGTTAAGCGAAAACATCGTAAAGCGAAAACAAAAGGCCCATTGAAACGCATTGAAAACCTTTCAGTGTGTTCCAATGGGCTTAAAACTCACAGTCCAGCGAAGATCCTCCGTATGGCGGCTATTTTCGCTGCCTGTATAGCAAGGAATCCGTCCTTAAACACAGCAGGGAGCCATTTTATTTACTTGGTGGCCATTTTGAAACCACCGATCAGCTGTTGAAAAATCATCGTTTTGCGAAGAATCGGTTCCCGAAGCAGGGAACCGATCATCGCAAAGCAAAATTCCCCCATTTAAACAATCGTTTTGCCATCGCAATTGCAATCGCAAAAAGATCGTCATAAAGTGGATTTGTCGTAATGTGGGGCAATAGTAAAGCGAGGCACCACTGTAATAGGCTTTTCAAGGTGTGTGAGATGCTGAAAGTCAATTACTATTGCCCCACAAATAGTGAATTTCTGTGACTGAATTGGGATTGTAGCCAGAGTGCTTTCTGATATCAGTGACATCTCACCAACTCCAGTGTACGTTTAGAATTAGCTAAAACTGAAATAAGCTAATGGTTCCCACCCTTGAATAACCCAGATATTCTTGGACTGCAGTTCCCAGAAACATTCACCACTAACTGCTGCCCAGGGGTTTTTTGGAATTGCAGTCCAAGAACACCTGGGTTACTCAAGGTTGGGGACCACTAAAGTAAGTGGTATTTGTCCATAAGAACAAAACAAAATCTATAGATCTATACTTTTTTAAAAATTGGGATTGATTAAATCCTGCGTTGAACATGCAAGATTCTTTTGTTAGGCTGGGTGTTAGCAAAAAGAGGGTGCAGTGGAAGAGGAATAATGAAGGTTCCAAAATTTAGCTGGATGGTGATAGCAGTTAAAGTCAGTCACAAGATGAAGATTGTAGAGTCACTGGTGAGTCATTTGAAACCTGCAAATTTATGAGTGCTTATGTGATCTCCATTTTGGGGCTGAGTTTAATGAAAGTCATCATGGCTACGACATCTGTAATTTATTTTAAATTTGTTTTTAGTATCACTTCTTTTAACATTGTGAGCCACCTTGGGTTCCCTCACACAGGGAACAATGGTCTACAAATGATACAAAATAGGCAAACAAACATTTGCTTTAATACAGTATTTGGATTTCTTGCATCCCTCTTTTTGTTTTGTTTTCAATTGTAATCTTCAAGGGAATGAGATTGATGGAAAGAAGCAGGGTAGTGATCCCCACTCACAGGTACCTACATGTTGCTGCATTTTTGTTTCCAGTAACAGAAGGAAACAAATGGTTTGTTGCTAGTTTCTTCACAAACCTTTGACTTAGTATGTGTGATAATGTTCAGTTTGTTTTCAAAATTTTAATAAGACCAGTATATTTGTTTATCTGAAAATCTCTTTTATAAGAATATTTCACTTTCAGGGATTGGATATTTGTTTTTTATTTAAATTTTTATTTATTTAAAATATTTTTACCTGCCTTTCTCATTAAAAGGACACAAGGTGGCTACACCTTTTAAATATCAAATGTAATCACACTGTCTTTAACACTATAAATATAGATCTTAGCATATTACCAATTTAGGGCCAGTCTATGTACTCAAAGATAGGATACTGTACTTGATTTGTGCATAGTCCCATAGCAGCAGCCAGAGAATAAGTTATTAGGGTAAAGAAATAAGATAGGTCACTATGTATAAATAATTGGCCATTCCAAACTAAGATACTCATGTAAATGTTCCTTCAGTACTATTTTTAAACTGTTGATGCAATAATCCACCCATGACTGTTAGCTGACTTGTCTTCTATTTTTGCCCCATTTTGAGTTGGTTTCTATTATTCCCATTTACACTTGAGAACTGAAGAAGTGAATTAAGTCTGTTCATTTAATATTTAAAGCATCTCAATACTTTTTACAATTGCAACAGTAAAATAACACTGCCCCTCCTCCATTTCTTGGCTATTGGAAAGCTATCTTCTTGTTGCTTTTAATTGAATCAGCCTCATAGAATTTAAGGACAGATACATAACCCTCTTTATTATAGACATTTGGTAATACTAGGCCCATTATTTAGTAGTGGCCATTATTAGCCATGATACCTGCATTGAACCTCTTGCACAGACAGCAAATATTGAGCACCAGACAGAGGTTAGCTACAGGAGGCAGCTATTGCTATATGAAGGGTTTGTGAGCTTCTGAGAGATATCTGACCGGACAGTGCTATGCCTGATCCAGCAAGGCTATTCTTAACCTTTTTAAAAAGTCTTATCAACCTTGCAGTCAGAGCAGTTTGCTGCAGGCAAAAGATTTGTATGCTTGCAAACCCATAGAACTGTATTACCCTTGCTTGGATTTGATTTCTCCCCAGATTGGAGCCAGTCCACTGCTAGCCTGTGAAATGTCACTTTAAATGAAGATATAGCTGATGTTAGATTTAGTCAGTGCTTCGCTTTCTGATGTAGTCTTCCTACAGGCCTATCTTTTGTCTCCAAGATTGGTGACCTATTTTTCATGATAATACCATTTCTAATTAGCTATATAAATCATGTAAATTGCTGTTTCCAAAAAAAGTTAAACCAGTCCCACAGAATTTATATTTAACCATGGGGAGCTCATGTTCTACCATTGGCATCTTCTGGTGGATTACCTAGCATTAAAACTTTCAAAGAATGCTGGACTACTCACTAAAGATGGTGTTGTGATTTCATTTACAGATTCAGAGAAATTGAACAAGATGAATTCACTCCTGGAAAGGCTTCATGTCAAATTTAATCCCAATAGTAGACCTTGGACAGAGACCATGAAACTTGTCCGACAAGTTATGGTGAGGAGATTTTGTACTTAGTTCTTTGTAGCTCTTAGGCCAGCATCATACAGTTTTTATTTACAGCAGTGACTAATGGCAAGTGGAAACTTCTGGGGACTGGGTAAAATCCTCTAATGTGCTGCTAAAATAACAGTTACCAAGATTTTAGGATACAGTGATGCCTCGCTTAACGAGCGCCTCGGATAACGACGAATCTGCATAGCGGTGTGTTTTAAGTGATCGCAAAAGCGATCGCATTGCGATGTTTCTAATAGCAAAAAATCGCTTTGTGATATCGGTAAGCGTTTCACTTAACGATTTTCGCATAGCGATGTTTTTTAACAGCTGATCGGCGGTTCCAAAATGGCCGCCGGGTAAAGGAAATGGCCGCCCACTGTGTTTTCACGCCCATTCCTCACTTAATGGGCAGCGAAAATGGCGGCCGCATGGAGGATCTTCGCATTAAGGTGAGTTTTTTGCCCATAGGAACGCATTAAACGTCCACATAGCGACGATTTTTTCGGAACAGATATACACCACTGTATATTGTTTTACACAAATTTTGGTGCAATTTTTCCAGAACTTGCAAAAGATTCTGGGTTGCATTCTAGTGTGCATTATCCATTAATGTAGTACTGCTGAGGCCTGTCCACTTTTGTTATGTTACCTGTAAATTGGAAATGCACCTGATACAGTATTGCAGCTAATTACTACTTGTACAGCAAAGCTAGAGTTTTTTAATTGCTTTATTTTGAAAAGTTATAGCTCATAGGTGTATAGAAAGTGCTTTTTAAATTAAGCTAATCTTTGACTAACATTTCATTTCTGAATACAGGAGGAACAATTCGTAGTGAGCTCTGTTGGTCTTCAGAATATTCTGAACTGCTTGAAAATATTTGTTTGCAATCTAAGGGACATTGCTTTGCTGTCTTTTGTCTGATAAATGTAGCTCATTTCCATAGTCTAGTTTTTATGATGCACAAGGCCAGCATTATATAGTTTTCATTTACAGTAGTAACTGAGTGCAAGTGGAAACTTCTGGGAATGCAGGTGAATGTGCTGATTTCTCAGCTTTTGTTTCTGTTTCACAGCATCACTGATGTTAACATGAAATACTCTATTTTTTTTCTCCCTTGTTCCTTTTGAACACAGGAAAAACGAGTTGTAATGAACTCTGGAGGTCACCAGAATCTTGTCAGCTGCTTGGAAACATTACAGAAGGCCTTGAAAGGTTGGTAAGAGCTTCAGAAATATAAGAGCTACATGTGCTAAAGAAAACTGGCTGGAAGGGTGAGCATTAGGATTCCCAAAAGAATTGGATGCATGAAATTGTTACATTTGACACTCAAAAGCAGAGGTCCCCAAGCCCCAGTCTGCGGCTGAGTGCCGGTCCATGGCCTGAGGCAGACTGGGCTGCACAGACAGACCTCCCGGCTCCCCTGCACGCACTCACCCCCGCACGGCCTGTTTGCACCTGCGTGCATACGCCAGCATGCCCGTGTGAGCGCCGTGCCACTTTTTGCACAGGAACACGAGTGCACCGCACGGCCTGTTTGCACCTGCGTGCATACCCCAGCATGCCCGTGTGAGTGCCTGCACAAGTGTCGCACTGCCATTTGCACATGCAACCACCATGTCACCATTTGTACATGCGCATGGGTGCTTGCACGTGAGAGAGCACGCTCATTCACACATGCACACAAGTGCAGGAGGGTCCCGCCTTCCCCAGCTGGTCCGCAGGAAGGTTGGGGACCCCTGCTCTAAAGAACTTTTATTTTGAAACATATTTACAGTGATTTGCCAATAAAAGTCACAAGTACTCATTGGCTGAAATCCTGTTGCTTAGCATGGTAAGATGCAACTGGAATAGGCCATTCAGTCATAAAACATATGGAGGAGTTAGCTCACCAAATCCCCACTGATTCAGTGGACCTACTCTAGTTGTGATGTATTATGCTGTGCCACAGGATTTCATCCATAGTAAAATCATTCCTGGGGGTGGGGATAAGTTTTGATAATTAAAGATTTCCTCTTTATGTCCCTCGGCCAACATGGGTTCCTGACAATGAAAGGGATTACAACTCATAGGAGCTTTGAGATGAAAAGGAGAAATATATTTTTTTAAAAAATTTGCTCTAGCTGATGATATCAGCTTTAAGTCACAGAACTTATATGAATAGGAGTTCAGCCACTGAAGCCTCTGAGGGGTGTAACTGGCTGTTTGAGGCTCAGATTTTTGAGAGTATTAGGTTAGAGGCAAAGGTGTTGGATATGGCCCCTCACTACCTATTGAATTTGTCTGTCCCTGCTTTAAATACAGAATTTTGAAATTAGGATATCTAGGAGGCCCTCAGCAAAGATGTTCACTTTGAAACAATAAAAAATTATAGATTAGCTGATGTTATAGACCTGCATCAGCTAATCTCCGATTAGCCCACCTTGTCCCATGTATACAATAGCAGTCATGTAACTGATCTCTTACAAAAGGTGCCTCACAAATTAGCTGCATCTATTTGAGTAATTCCCCTTGCATTGATAGTAATTTGAACAACATGCTCACCTTATGCCTAAAGGCAGCCTTGGGAGTTATTATCATCAAATGTGGTGAAATATGAGTACGTTTTCATTCATATTGGGATTTAAACAAGTTGTCTTCCTTCTAGTGACATCTCTGCCTGCCATGACAGATCGCTTGGAGTCCATTGCTAGGCAAAATGGGTGAGTCTTGTGTCATTCACAGATGCTTTCCAATTAAAGTGTCATTCTAGTCTCATTCGTAGTTTGATTTGTTGGAAGATGCGCACAATCCTCTTAAGTACTGAATTACAATTTCAGACCACTTTCAAGAACCTTAATTTACTTTAAAAGGTAAAGGTTCCTCTCAACACTTTGTCCAGTTGTGTCTGATTCTAGGCTGCGTTGCTCCTCTCTGTTTCCAACCCATAGAGCTAGCGTTTGTCCGCAGACAATCCTCCATCGTCACGTGGCCAGCATGACTAGACACAGAACACCGTTTACCTTCCCACCAAGGTGGTACCTATTTATCTACTTGCATTTTTGCATGCTTTTGAACCACTAGGTCGGCGGGAGCTGGGAAAGCGACGGGGGCTCACTCCGTCACGTGGATTCGATCTTACGACTGCAGGTCTTCTGACCTTGCAGCACAGAGGCTTCAGTGGTTCAACCTGTAGCGCCACCACATCCCTTAATTTACTTAAGCTATATATTAAAAATTCTCAAGCTAACAGATTTGGGGAGCCAGTCTTGTTTCTCCTGTGGTATATTGATTAGCTTAATTGCTTAAGTTTATAAGGACTTTGCTTCTCCCAGCTTGGAATCCACTGTGGTCTGGATTGCTTTGACTGTTATTTGAAGAGGCAGTTTTTTATTCTTTTTAGGTAGGGTGAAGGACAGACCTTTGGTCTTTTGTGACTCTAGCTATAATAATGCTGATAATGTAACATTTAAAGAGCCAGTTAAATGCTTGTTTTGTATTTCAAAATATGAAGTTCTGTTTAAAAAAAGGTGAAATTTATTTCTTCTACCTTGTTTAATATCAAGACAATCAATTGCTTTTAAGTAATTATTGCTATTTAGGTTTGAAACTAAGAATGAAGATGATCTTCCTGATTCAACATTAGATCTCATATTACCTGAACATAAATCTTTCCCCCCAGTTTGTGTTGTTTCCATAACTTATGTTTAAAGACTAACTGATTCTACAACCAACTATATTTTAATATATTTTTTGTTAATTGACTAAGCCTGTTTTGAAAAGCTAATGTGCTTATGACTGTTGCTAAAAACCATTGTTTGATGGACATAGGAAATAGATTCTATCTTATTTCACAGCCAGGGAGTAAGGATAGGGTAGAAAAGAAAGAGAGAGGGAGGACAAAAGAGTGCTCTAGAGTCTACTACATAAGGATCTTTTTCTGTTTTTGTGAATTAGACTGAAGGATAACATGAAGCTTACTCCCCACTGATTCAACGGGCCTACTTTCGGGCACCTTAGGGTTAAGCAACGGGATTTCAGCCATTGGATTGGATTCAGATTAAGTTAGGTCAGGGGTCTCAAACTCAATTTACTTGGGGGCCGCTAGAGGCAGAGTCTGGATGAGGCTGGGCCACATCAGGTTTTCCGCCAAGTGGAACAAGAGTCCGAGGAAGCACCCAGGAGTTTTATTAGCCCGGCTGGGGCTCCAAAGAGGAGGAGGGGCATGCGAGCTGTCGTTGCCGGCCAAGACCTCTGGCTCCTTCTTCACTACCACCACCAGCAGCAGGACGAAGAAGCAGAGAAGGGAGGGAGTGCCGGTGACCACCTAGTGGGGGGGGGGAGAGGTCTTCAAAACTAAGTATCTTTTTTGTTTGTTTTTATTAGCCTTGGATCTCATCTTAGTGCTAATGGCACTGAATGCTACATAACGTCAGACATGTTCTATGTGGAGGTCCACTTGGATCCTACAGGACAGCTATGTGATGTTAAGGTGGCACATCATGGAGAAAACCCTGTGGTATGTAGAATATGCAGGACACATTTATAACTGCCACTTTCTGTCTTTAGAAACGTTTTAAAATGTTTTTTAAATGGCCTGGCTTCTTGAAAGGAAATGGGGTAAGTTGCAGTATGTACCATGGACCCCTGCCTTTGAGGGCATACTCAAATCCATCTGTGTTAGGATACTCTTATCTGTACTAATGTCTACATTTAATTTTCTAATCCCTCAGAATGAAAGTTATCTCTTCAAGCAATTCCCTTGACCTTCTCTTGGCCACATTCTTTACAGTGTTGCAAAACCTAGGCAAGCATTTTCCATCTTTTAATAAAGGTTTATGGATACATAGCAGAGAGAAAAGTCTTTGCTTCCAGTGACTAAATATAAGGATACTGTAGTTTCCTCATCAGTTGGTATCACTGCTTGTTTTCTTTGGGCATGTGTTCTGTTTTCTTGTCCAAGTAATATATTAGTTTGTTCTTAAATATACCCTTCTCCTTCAAAATGCTTGCAATTGGCCCATTCTCTTTATGTTGCTGTGTGATAATCCAGAAACAGAGTGATGTTTCCCGCTCCAGGAAGCAGGTGGTCAGCTTCCTTTCTGCTCTCTTATCCAGAAACCATGTAGGGTTCTGTGGGTAAACATGTGATCAAGGGGGCCAGAGTTTCTACCTGCATTAAGCTGGCATTCACTATCATCATGTATAAACAATAGTGTGCTGGATAATCATAACAGCTGCAAATGAATTTGAGATAGCATCCTTTTTTCTTTGTAGAGTTGCCCAGAGCTGGTACAGCATCTAAGGTGAGTACTGGTATTCATGGATAAAATGATAAAATTATGAGCATATAACTCTCATCTGACTTCAACAGCTAAGTAGGGTAATATCTACTTAGTACTTTAATGGGAGACCAGCAGGGAACAACAGGGGCCCAGGTAGGGCAGGGAAAGAATCTTGTTTTAAACTCTGACAGGGCATAGTACAGAACCAAATAGACTGGGCAACATCCTATTCTATGTTCCATTGATGTTTGCATCCCTCTTTCCCATACTGAGAAACAATTCTGTTATATGGTTCTAGTTTTCCACACATTGGTAGCCATAATTTTCCTGCAGAGGTGGAGGACATCCATATATGCTTTGATCCTTCCTCTTGCTCTTATATGCAAAAGCATTTAAAAATCACTTTCTTATAAAATTATATATAGCTTTTTCAATTTGTATTTCTTTTCTTAATCTGCTTTATAGTTTATACTGGAATATAAAAGTGTAGATCTAGTATTAATCACTAGATTTTCAATGTGTTGATATTGAATGGTTCTGTCTAGAGTTTTGAAAAGTTTCATGTTTTCTGCTTTTTAAACAATTTAAAATTGACAATATTTGCAAAGCTTCCCAGAGTTCTAGGGATAGGTTATTAAATTCTAATGAAATACTGTAGCCCTTCCCCCATATGGAGCTTCCCTGGTCTGGTTGTAAATCTTGCTGAGCCTGTCAAGACTAGCCCAAACAGGTTACCATAAACCCATCTGAGGTTTTTTTTTTCAGAACTCAAATTTCAACCAAGTGATATTTATTCTTTCTCTGGAATTTTATGAAGAAAGGCAGTCTAGAAGAATCAGATAATTTCTCCCATGTCGTAAAGCAGAGCTTAAAATGTTACAATAACTAAAAATTGTAGGTGACCTACCTCAAATTACTCCTTTTTTTAAAAGTTAAGGAACATGACTGTTAAGAGGGTGCAAAGATAATTTGGTTTTGGCCATGAGAGTCATATAGGAAGGGATCCCCCCAGTCAGAGAGCTCCAAGAAAATCTGGAACAGTGCAGAGAAGATATGTGCAGAGAAGATATATGGTCTCAGTGCAGAGACCTTTGGGTAGTGTGGGCGGCATATAAATTAAATAAATAAATAATAAAATAAATATGGCCTTCCAGATTTTGTCAGGCTGTAATTCCCATCAGCCCATGCTGATATAGTCAATGTTGAGGGATGAATTGCAGTTGGACATAATGTGAATGGCCATATATTCCTCATCCTGATCTAAGCAGACACCCAGCTAATCTAATAAGTCCCAGAGAACTCCTGAGAAGGTATAGCACTGCAGCTGAACAACATGGGCCATAATATAAAAACAAGAATACTGAAAAGAAAGGTTAGGATCTTTTAATGTCAAAAATGACTGTTTCCTCCTATACGTTGGTGGATCTAATTTGTAGAAAATTAATGTCTCTGATCTGTGTAATAAATGCAAGTTTTCAGGATTTTTCTTTTCTTCTAGAGAGAGAAACTTTGATGAATTTTCTAAGCACCTTAAGGGTCTCGTGAATTTGTATAAACTGCCAGGTGACAAGTAAGCATTGTGTTTTTTTCATATTTTCTGTGATTAGAAAGTCTCCTAGAACCTGATCAAATATTTGTTAAAGTTTTGTATACAAAATGAGCTGCTCATCTGCATGTTGTCCTGCTTTTTCCTGTTTCACCTGCATCGCTCCTTTCTTTTCCTTCATTGCCACATTATGTTCTTGACTCCTTTGACTTTCAAAAGGAAAGCATTCTTCAGTAAGCAAGAGTTATTGTCAAAACTGTAACAATACTCAAGGACTAAAGTCATATTTTTAACAAAATAGAAATGGAAGTGTTCAAAATTCCACAAGCATGGGTCCTATGCAGTGGTGCCTCGCTTAACGGGCGCCTCGTTTAACGACGAAATCACATAGTGATGAAGATTTTGCGATCGCAAAAACGATCGCATTGCAATGTTTTAAATGGGCAAAAATCGCTTTGCAATGATCAGTACCCTATTTCGCTTACCGATCATCGCAAAGCGATTATTTTTTAACAGCTGATTGGCGGTTCCAAAATGGCCGCCAGGTTAAAAAAATGTCCGCCCTCTGTTTTCTGGGACGGATTTCTCGCTTACCGGGCAACGGAAATGGCCGCCGTATGGAGGATTTTCGTTTAAAGGTGAGTCTGAAGCCCATAGGAACACATTGAAGGGGTTTCAATGCATTCCTATGGGCTTTTTAAAATCGCATAGTGACGAAATCGCTTTGCAGCGATTTTTGCTGCACCGATTATCGTTGCTATGCCAGGCACCACTGTATTTAGTTTTGTAAGTGATGGTATGTCCTATTAATGATCCATCATTCTGGAGAAGCTGACAACTGAAGCAATTACCATTGATACTGAAAATAGCGATAGACAAGGCAGGGTTGTGTGAGGAAGGTGTTGACTTGACCCACTTCACTCACATGGAAAGGTGTGGTTTCAGCAGGTGGTTTAGGCCGTCTAATTGCTGGTTGATCTAGTTCTGCCATTGGCGCTGCTCTTTCCAAAGTCATATCTATAAATCCGAAGATCCTTTTTATAGTTCTATAGTTCTTGGTTCCCATATTGTAGGATGATGAGAAATTGCATCAAGGGGATGCCTTCTGAATCCAACAAAGCCATGTCCTCTTGTCTGCAGGACCCTGGGGTAAGAAATGATGACTGTCCAAATGGTGTGTCTTCAACATCCACCTGTCTTTTTTTGAATTTTAAAGAGGAAGGCTAGAAGACCCTCTCCCAACATATGTAAAACTGAACCCTCCTTTTATTACCATCCCATTCTCTCTTCTTAATTGCTTTTAAAACTCAAAAGAAGATAGATGAAGGAGGCATCATTCAGGCAGCCATCATGTCTCACTCTGGACCTTCTACACTAGAAGGCAAGTCTTTGCTAGATTCAAAAGATCCACTATTAGCAGTCCTTGCCTGCTGGCCCTAGAGGTGTACACACCTTGGGGATCAATAGCTGTAAATAGAGATGGGGGTATTTGTATTCATATACATATATCTCCACGTAACTGGAGTTGAGGGTCCAGCCCCTGTGGCCGGACCGTCCACTCACACTGCTGCTGCTGCTGGCCCTGCTCATCCTTCCAGTTGCTCCCGAGTGCCATTCTCTTCCTGGTCATCTAGCCACTCCTGGCAGAGGGAAGGAGTATGAGTCCCTCTGCAAGGCTGCTGAGTGGCTAGCTAAGCGGCACTCTGGAGCAATTGGAAAGAGAGGGGCAGATGCCAGATGTGTGAGTGGATGGTCTGGCCCCAGGGGGCAAACCCTCATTAACTCTAGCTGTGCAGAGATATTCGTATATGAATACAAATACAGTACCGCCACCTCTAGCTGTAAATCAAGAAAGAGACCTTCCGGAAAGCAGTGCAAGTGTTGATTAAATCTGTGGCATGTCAGCAATCTTGATTATCTGTTCCTGAGATAACGAATGACCACTGCCAGTCAGATAGTCCTCAGATTAACCATGCAATCATTTCCCTATATATTCAGAAGTAACACTCATTGGGTTCAGTGGGACTTATTTACAGATAAGTGTACAGGATTGCAACCTTAGAGGAAGGCATGTTTTTATGTGTTTTTTGTATCAATTTTAAGGAAGATTTCCAATTCTCCTTTCAGCAAACTGAAAACTAAAATGTACTTGGCTCTTCAGTCCTTGGAGCTTGATCTTTCAAAGATGGCAGGAATGTACTGGTAAGAGCACTGTTTTACACCAAGCCCAGCATTTACCTTCCCCCCCCTTGATGTAATAAACAGCAACCCTATCCAGGAATGGAAAATTGCATCTGGAAGGAGATGAATGTGAAGCCCATTTAAACCATGGATTCACTAGACATCCAGGGGGAGGGACAACATTTTTTATCTCAGTGACACAGTATGCAAGCATGACTGATTTAATGAACAAAGCAGGGTTTTGTAGGAATGAATGGGCCAAATATTACAAAACTCCTTGCACCTAAAACATTCTCTAAAAAAGAACACTCTAAAAAGAGAGACTGTTCATAGAGAAGCCTGGGTATTAAATAAGTGTGCAAATAAATAAAAAATGTGAGGTTCAAAGGGTAGCATTCATTTATAGTCCAGAATCTTGAAACTCGGCTTTTGAAAGCCTAAGGAAGACAGGTGGAACTGGAATTGATAGCTACCAGATTAAAGATTAGTTCTCTGCCTAGTATTACACTTTGGTAGCCAACATGGCTTTCATAACCAAAATAAGGGAGAAAATGTGATAGAATTAAGAACTGAATATTGTCTCACCTTCTACACTAACAAGATTTATTTGGCCTATTTCATCCAATGCAATTTCTCTGCCAAAATACTAGAGGCGGTAAAAGCTTATGTCAGAAAGAGGTATGAATCTTGAAGATGATGAAACTCTTCATTGTTTTTGCTGTAACAAGCATGCTCTGCTCTAGAAAAATAAAAACATGTTGCTTTTGCAAATCTACCTCCAAATCCTGTACAGTGGTGCCTTGACTTACAAACTTAATCCATAATGGAATGGTGTTCGTAAGTCAAAATGTTCGTAAGTCAAAGCAGCATTTCCTATAGGAATGAACTGAAACCTGATTAATCTGTTCTGGCTGTTTTTTTGTTCTTATGTCAAGGTACTGTAAATCAAAGCATCCATTCCCATAGGAACTAATGCAAAACCAGTTAATCCGTCTTCTACCACTAGGGAGAGAATTTTTTTTTAACCTAAGATGATTTAGGTTTTAAAAAGGGCAGGAAAGGAGGGAGACAGAGAGAAGACAATGGGGGAGGGAGAGAGTTTGGAGTACAAAATGCTAAAGCAACACATTTTAAACCCACACATTCTACACCAGCACATTTTAAACCAAGCCAGCACAGACCCTTGCAAAAACTTTTGATTTGCAGGGGAAGCATGCATGAACCATTGCAAAAGCACAGAAAACAAATGGAACAGATTAGAAATGCAAAGAGAACAGAGCAAAAAGCATGCAAGACAAATTAAAAGGGGGGGAACCCCCAAAAGCAACCAAACCCCCAAGACCTATCGGAAATGGGGGGGATACAAAAAAAAAACAAATTCCCCAAGACCCATACGAAATGGGAAAAAACACTCCAAAAATGAACCAAACACCTCCATCGGAAATGGGGGGAACCAAAAAACAAACACTCTCCCCAAGACCCATCACAGCACGGAAACATAACCCCTCCAGCCGAAAATCACACTGCAAAAATGGCAGGAACAGTTTTAAAAAAGTATAAAGCAGCAGTTTACCTTAGCAGGCAGCCTCCTCAGATTACACACACTCTAACTGCTGGGGTGAAAGAGCTACAAAGAAGCAGCCTCCTCGCCACCTACAGTTAACTATTTGAATTTCCCGCCCTTTTCCACTGCCTTTTTTTCTGTTAGTAAGTCAGAGCTCCATTCGCAAATCAGAGCAAAATTTTGTGAACGGAGCTGTTCGTAACTCAAAATGTTCATAGGTCAAGGCATTCCTAAGTCAAGGCATCACTGTACATATGTAACTGGAAGTAAATCTAATTGAATTTACTAGGTCTGGCATAGAAAATATACAGTTTGGGTTATGCTGTTAGTGTCATAAACCTAGGGTTTCCATTTTAGCATGTAACTTGTCACATGTGAGATATAGTGGTCAATTGTTTTAGTGAAACAGATCATAATTCTGCACAGGATATTACAAGTTTCCAATTCTGTCTGCTTGTAGGCAAGCCACCAATGCAAGCCCATTGGACAAGATTCTGCATGGAAGTGTAGGTTACCTCACCCCAAGGAGTGGAGGTAAGAGACTATCTTTTCTCTAAATAAGAGAAACAGTGTGCATGCAGATCAGATATTTATGTGCTGCAATCCACCTCGTAGTAATTTCTGAAAAAGGCTTGAGAAACTGGGTGAGGCAAGACTACTCAAAATACATCTAGAAAGACCATATATATACTGGTTTGTTACACTGATCAATGTATGCAGTTCAGAGCCTAATGTGCTCTTAACAGAAAGAAAATACATCCCAGAAAGCCATCAGTGAAGAAGACAGCTCCAGGTAAAGTGAAGGTAGGGATGGCAATCTTTCTGCAGGTCTGGGGCCAGATGACTTCAAGAAAATTCTTTCCCAACCACAGATGTGGTCATCAGAAAAAATTAAAGTCATCCAACAAATATTCCCCCAAATGTATTGCATTTTAGTTACATGCTTACACCATCTGCTCCTGAATACATGTCTGGTAAATCAGTTATACCTCAGGTGATTCATAAATTATTAACTTTTTTGGAGCCGGTACTGAGGCATGACTTGTTAACTTTGCATGTTGAAAACCAGAACTCAGACTCCTTCTCACCTAAGACATTGATTTCATAATACTGAGTAAAGCACAAATCACTTCCCCATGGGAATGTTGCAAAGATGAAAAAAAAAAGATACAGATGCCACTATCAGCACATTGGAATAAGAGCACAATAACAAGGCAACAAAGATATCTGACCCAAATAATTAAGCGCTACATTTGGAAAAATTATGTGATTGACAACTTAGAGTGCCAAGTACAGTGGTGCCTCGACTTATGAACTTAATCTGTCCCAGAAGATGTTCATAAGTGGAAATGCTCGTAAGTCGAAGAACCATTTCCCATTGAAATGCACGGGAATGGGATTAATCCATTCCAGCATTTCAAAAAAAAACAAACATAATAAATCATAATAAAAATAAACAGAGCAAGTCCCATGCCAGGACTTCAATAAAACAAAAATTAAAAAAAACCAACAAAAAAAAATAAGTATTGGAGCAAGTCCCATGCTGGGACTGCAAAAAAAAAAATCACCAAAAAACAAAACAACACAGAAACATAACCCCCCCAGCCCAAACCCACTCTCCAAAACCCACCCAGAACAGTTTTTTTAAAAAAGGAAAAAGCAGCACCTTACCAGTCCGAAGACTCCCAGGCTTTTGCCACCACTGCCGCGGCCGGGAGGCGAGCGGCCAGACCATCCTGGCCATGCTCAGCCTCCTGGGCTTCCACAGCCAAAGCAGTCCCCTGGCTCTGAATCACTTTGATCCCTTTCTCACTCTTCCTATGCCTCTAGGGATAGAAAGAAGGGGAATGCCCGACTAAAGCCATCGCCTAGCCCCACTGCCTTTACAAAGGCAGTGCAGCTGGGGGATCACTTTGATCCCTTCCCCCCTTGGTCCTTGGCGCTCCTCGCTACTCTCCGTGGGCCAAAGGCGGGAAATTCAAATTGTGGAGGGTGGTGAGGAGTGCCGAGGATTGACACGGCTGCCCCAGCGAGCAGCTGCTGGTGCTGGTTCCGAAGCTGGAGGCACCAGAGGTGGCATCACCCTGCTGAGGGCGGTGAGGAGCATCAGTCCCGGCCTTGTTGGAGCCCACTGGGAGGTGAGCACCCGGCCATGCTCAGCCTCCTAGCTCTAGGCCACCATTTGAATTTCTTGCCCCTTTTCCCTGCCTATTTTTGTTCATATGTCGAAGCTCCACCCACAAGTCGAAGCAAAATTTTGCAGCCGGAGCTGTTCATAAGTCGAAATGTTCGTAAGTAATGGCGATCGTAAGTAAAGGCACCACTGTATGATTATTTGGAGGACGTACAGTAAAGAAAAAAAATCCACCCACCAGACTAAACTCTTTTCCTTCAAAACCCTTGCCTCCCTGCTTATATGTGAACCTAGCATTCAGCATAATTCTATACTTCATAATTCTATACAGGCAACAACTGTGCTCTTTCCACCTCTACTGTATTTCATTTTCTGTTTCTTCATCTAGGTCACTTGATGAATCTGAAGTATTATGTTTCACCCTCCAATATGATTGAAGATGGAACTGGAGCTCCTGTCATTCTAAATGAAGGCAATGGTATGTTCTGTTTGCAGAATACATCTAGCTGTACTTCAAGCTTCTAAAGCTGTGCCAGGAACATGTTGTCAATTGTTTTGAAGCCTTCCTGTGAGTCCCTGGCAAAAGATTCTTGATAGAAGTATGTCTTCTATAGCAATGTGATAGAGGAACACTTGGAAGGATCTGTTGCATATTCTCTTTTTAAAAGGTTTAAGTACTTCCCCTGAAAGACAATATGAAAGCATAACCATGCGCTTTCTCAAGCAGCCTCTCAGATAGAAGAATAGAATCAATTCCCTTCCTAGTTTGCAAGAGAACACAATACCCAGGTTTACTAAACTTCTGCTTCTCTATTTAATGCAGAGGAGAAAGGAAAACCCTGTCTTTTAAAAAATATGAACCAATTTTGACAGCTTTTTTTTTTTGATGCATACTGTACTACTTTGATATCTGCCAGGATCAGAATGTGGGATGAGGGGTTGATTTTTCTCCCTGTATTAAGATGGGGAGGTGTAATTTGCATGGTATTCTTTACTGGATTCAGTGGGAGCTGCAGCTCATTTGAGGATATCAGCCTTTACTGCCACTGAATCAATTTCTCATAGTCTGTCCAGGGAGTAATACCAGTGAGCTATGCAGCATACTGTTTGTAACTCATTGCTCTGTAATGAATTTTAAAAAAAATTGCTGCTCAAAAGGTTTTGACTTGGTTGTTCTCTTTCAGTTCCTCGACACCTTGGTATGAATGTGTATGTTACAATTGAAGGAACATTGACTATGAACAAGCTTCCAATTGCCCCTTTGATTATGGGGTCTCATCCTGTGGACAACAAAGGGTAAAAAAACACCATTTATGTTTTCTGTTCCCATTTTGCCATTGCCATTGTAAAAGTAATTGCTCAACAATGTACATAACAGGTTTGTTCTCCATAGTTTTGAGGAAGTATTTAGGTGTATGGGTCAAAGTGCAGTGAAACAGACTGAGAAGTACGTTCTGTGCCAGGGAACATCCAGAAGCTACTTGTGGTAGTGGTGGTGGTGGTTGAGAACAATTTAGAAGTGACTTGTACCCAAGTTCTATCCTAAAATCAAAGAGACCCAAATGCAGATTATTTTGCTTAACAAATTGCTTTAAATAGGACTAAAATGCTTAGCTTTATCTAGGATCTGATATGAAAATTATTATTTGAATGTAGGATTTTTCAGAAAAAAAACTCTGTATCCTTATTTTCGATTTCAAATTTCAAGTTGTTGTTAAAAAGGATTGGATAATGATGAAAAGTTGGGAGACATGAGGCTTTTTTCAAAAATGAAAAGGGAGTATGATGCTGAAAAGTTTGGGAACCACTGAGTTAGAGTTTGCAATAGCAGGTTCCTAAGGCACAAAACAAATTCATAATCTACGTTCATTTATTTTTAAAATATGTACTTTATATTTCTACCCCAAAGAGTGTACATGCCAGTTCAAAATAGTAGAATAACATCATAAATACGTCAGTCAGATCTGGCTGAGGCTTGTTGAAATGCAAATCTCTTTACAGCCTTCCTGCAGTTAGAAAGAGACAGTGTGTAGCACATACTGTTCCAAAGCCCAGTTTCATCCAACCATACATTTAATTTGCAGTGATCAGAACACAAGGAGTAAGGCCTCTGTAAGGAAGAAGGTTTGTGTGGAAGACAGAACTCTCCCCAAGCTCTGAATTCAGCCCCTTTAAGGAGTAAAGCTGAAAAGCAGCACTTCTGATTGTTTGGGAAGCTCTGTTCTAGAATACTGAATGCATTTGTGTGACTACACGTTAATGCTAAGCACATTAAACACTGTTGTGAATAATCTCTTCTCTTTTAGGACTCCCTCCTTCTCTTCAATCACCAGTGCCAATAGTGTTGATTTGCCCGCCTGTTTTTTCCTGAAGTTCCCAAAGCCTATTCCAGTATCTCGGGGCTTCATTCAGAAACTTCAGAACTGCACAGGTCAGTCACAAGTTGAGAAAAGCTAACATTCTGCTAGTTTCAGTGAAGATTTTGTAGTTCCACAGCCTAACCCCAAGAGGGCAGCAGTCAGTGCATGTTTACATTCTTTTTTGGAGTGAGCAGAGTTCTTTAGCATTTCTGCAGCCTAGAGTTTAGAGCCAATATCAACTTCTAAGGACCTCCCCAAACCAACCCCTCCCACATTCAGCTGTTCCTCCTCCTTTGAAAGGACGGCTTGGTCTTCTGAAGATTTACAAAGCAGATTTCTGGATTATGAAGCAAACATTCAGATATATGATACAGTCTAGGAGAATGCAAGGTCAAAGTAGGTTAAATAGTGTTTTATGTTAGTAAGGTAACATGGTTGGTTTTACACCTCACCCATCAATCTACCTTCTGGCCATCTAAAACTAATCTCTCTACTATGCTTTCAGTCTGTTTTCTTTCTCCTTGTGTTCAAAGAAGCTAAATCTCTAATCCCTTCAAGACCCTAATTTTATGTAAAGCAAACAGATACAGTACAAGAAAATTGAGTTTGTTTCACTGATGAAGAGAGAGTTATATCAGTATTCACACACAAAAAACTGTTTATAGCCTTTAGTACCTTGAGTATCTATTGTGCCTCTCCATCCACATTCTCACAAACACTCTAGAAGAACACTCTGCTAAAGTGCCTGTTAAGTGGATTGGAAAGGTAAATAGTTGGAACAGAGAAGGAGGTGCTTATTTTACTTTTGAACCCAAGTCTACACAGTGCAACAAACTGTCTGCAGGACCTCACGGGTTTGGAAGTTTGAGGTTTTGGTTAGGTCTACTATGTCAATAAAAACAATATATTATTTGACACATAGTTATAAAATGTTGTGCTGTATCTCAACATATATGGTTTTGAATACTAAATTGTAACAATTCTACAGTGTAGCAATGCTCTCCTATACCGAGAAAGTAAAAGAATTGCACTAGAAAATTGTTGTAACCCCCTCTGCTACAGATCTTGCCTTGTTCGTGTCAGAAGCACCACAGTACAATTAATAAATCTGGTAATTTTCACCCACTAATGGGTATCTGGGGTAGCTAACATTGAGTCTTCCATAGTACATGTTGACAGGCATAGGGTGCACTGACATAGGTGTGAAGTTGCTTATTCTCCACACTCACAAAAGACTGTGTTGGTGCAAACCCCTCATTTTCTTAGGTTCACTTTTGTTCTGTCAACTCCATAGCCTGTTAAGTGACTTCCAAGTAATCCAGCTTTGTGTGACTAAGACTCAACTTTCCTAGAGCTCCATCCAGTTTAAGAGATGTTTATTTCTTGCTTTCTACATCATAGTCCTGGCATTCAGTTTCTTCATGATTTACAGATGTTCTGAAAAACTGTTTCCTTGATTTTAACCTGGGGTAGTAGGTATGGTAGCAAAAGAGGGAATGCATATTTTCTATAGATGCATTTAGTATTTCACTATTTAGCTGCTACTTCTCTGTATGTCACTGGGTGCAGTGCCTACTAGGTAATTGTTTTCACCCATAAGGTTGTGCTTCAGACATTCAGAATGATTCTGCAGTTACAGATGTAAGATGTGGCAACAGTTATTTTTGTTTGTCACAAGATGACAGGATCTGGGTTGGTACTCATGGTTTTTCTCTCTCTGTCTGCAGGCATCCCGTTATTTGACTCCCCTCCGACATACGTCCCTTTATATGAACTCATCACTCAATTTGAGCTATCCAAGGAGGATGACTCTGCACCTTTAAACCACAGTATGCGCTTTTATGCTGTAAGTTAAACAAATTGAGAAATTAAACCATAAGACTCTCTGAGTGTATCTGTGTGCATATACAATTGTACATAGCTTTTCCAGTTATGATTAAAATGGATGGGATTTGACTATAGAAACACATGTTCTGTGGTGTACATCAGTGGTTCTTAACCTTTGTTACTCGGATGTTTTTGAACTGCAACTCCCAGAAACCCCAGCCAGCACAGTTGGTGGTGAAGGCTTCTGGGAGTTGCAGTCCACAACTCCTGAGTAACCCAAGGTTAAGAACCAGTGGTGTACATCATTACATTTGTGGTGGGCATGCATCCAACTTGGACTTTAAAGAGACTTATGATACCCATTTTCCCTTCATAAGGGCAAGGTGAATGCACTCATACTTGTACTGGAATTAATGTGAGGAGTATTTGCTGAAGGAACTGTATATTATTAACAGTAAATGAGATCTGCCAAAAAGAAGAAATGTGGGGTATCATTATTTTTGTAGAGCAAACCTACATTATTTTTAAAAATGCACAAGTGGTTAAGTATACATCTACTGACTGTATAAGCATGCATGAATCTTCTTGCAGAGAATGTGAGACGGTATGTTTTTTTCACATCAGGCCCTGCCAGGACAGCAGCACTGCTACTTCCTCAACAAAGATGCCCCCTTGCCAGATGGGCGAAGTCTTCAAGGAACTCTCCTTAGCAAAATAGCTTTTCACCACCCTAGTCGAGTTCCTCTCATCCTCAATATGATCAGGCATCAGGTGGCCTATAACACACTGATAGGCAGCTGTGTCAAGCGAACAGTCTTGAAAGAAGGTGAGTTTTGTCCACAAGACACTTACTAGAGTGCTTTGAAAGACATTTGTCTCAATAATCTATGTTATAACTTGATATATACGGTTGCCGCCCAGAGTGGTAGAATATATCAGATGGGCAGGATATAAATCAAATAAATAAATATTGCCGGTGTGTTCATTCCAGAGAATGAAAGATGAAGAACAAATTCAGTAATGTGTTTATTTGGGCCACAGATCCATTAAGTTAGAAGGCTGCCTCTTAGAGAGACAGATGCTTTTCAGGCAAAATGGTTACTTACATGTATTTATGATTGTTCCGGGAACACTGAAATAAAGTTATAAATCTACCACTCTTCGAACATCAGCCTTTCTGCCAATTAAGAAGTATTTCCTATAAATACGTTGTGATACTGCTATAATTGCAAGAGTGGGAAATATGTGGCTCTTCAAATATTGAGGGATTCAGACTTTCCTCTCTCCCCCCCCCCCGAAATGCTGGTTTGCTGACTAGGGTTGATGAGTATTTCAGTTGAATAACATTTGGATGCCCAGGCATTCCCCACACCTGTTTTAATACTAGATATTTTCCATTTCGTATATGCCTGCATTTGTTACCATAACCCATGAAAAACCATTATAAGCAGAGTTGTTAGGAATGTAGCTTGAACATTTAAGAACAGTGCATTATTTCAAATAAAAACAGGTAAAACTGGGTCACATTTTTATATATATAGACATGTATGTTCCACATTTTATCCCACACTTTCTTAATAGTATTTAATCCTCAGAGAAGTTGTGAAATAGGTAATACTGAGATAATGAACCACCTAATCCCATGATGTTTTTTTACTTTGAACTTGTGTTTTTCTGTTCAAAAGTCAATGGGAGGGGCCATCATACCACACCTTGATAAATGTGAAATATTTCTGCCTAAATGATACTAAGTTCAACGCCAGAGTTAGAGCACATCCATAAACGTAAAGAATAAAAAGTGCCCTACATCTTCAGAAGAGGAATTACCAAAATCGAATAAGAATAAGGCTGGACACTTTATTCTGATCTCCATGGGATTATTGTTCTATTTGATAGTTACTAGATTGGTCAGGGTCAGTAAATGGAACAGAAGTGATGAAATTGAGAATTAATAAAAAATAAACAGCAATTTAAACTCAGCTTCTTAGATTTCTTTACATGATTCTCACCATCTGTTAAAGAAAAAGGTGTCTAGTGCATGTGCATACATATGTAACAAAGGCAACCTAATTAGTTGATTGAACTGAGTGTGTGCCCCACAGGGGGAACTGGGCAGATTCATGGGGAAGGCAGCAGGTGGGAACATGTATGTCTGTGTTCTATCTGGAAATCCCTGAGAAGCTGCTGGATGGCTGTAGAGCTGTTTACTTAGGAATGTATTCTGTTCCCTTTTGTAAGAGCTCTTTATTATAATTAGAGATGGGGGTATTCATATACAGTGGTGCCTCGCTTAACGAGTGCACCGTTTAACGAAAAATCCATATAGCGATCCCTTTTTGGGGATCGCTATACGGATCAGCCCCAATCGCCGCACTCGCTTTGCGACGATTGGGGCTCTGGCGGCCATTTTGGAGCCGCCGAACAGCTGATCGGCGGATCCAAAATCGAAGACGCATGGCACGAC